TGACGAGTATTACACTTTGGTTTCTAATTTTTTCTGAAATATTTTTTATGTAATTTTATTTGTTAACAAATACAATCTATTTTCTCTATTTATGAATTTCTGAATAAGTTTTTTTTTAGTTTTAATTTTTTATTTGCTTATTTTTATATAATCAAATTTTAAATATAGAATTCACCTTTTTTTTTAATTTTCTTATTCTTTCTATGATTAAATTTTATCAATATCAATTTTGTAATTGTTTGTATTACACTCTATTAACTTCAATGTATTTTCTACAACTTAATTTTTTTAAAAAATATTTTTCGATTTATGTTGCACACTCGACCTACCGAGTATGGTTATGATATAAAAAAAAATTATGATGATTGATTTCAAAATTAACTATACATCTATACACATAACACCAACCATATCCTATTTTTTTTAAATTAAACTCTTTCAAATAAATTAATTAAAATAATATTTTAAAAGAACTATCTAATAATTCAAATACAAATTTTTATACTAATATTATTTTGTAAATAAATAAATATAAATCAAATATACATATTTTTTGAAAAATAATCTTATCATCAATATTAAATAATAATTAAAAAAAAGATTAATTTGTTACTTTTTATATAAATTTTTATATTAATTATTGATTTATTTTTTTGATGCCATGATATGAAAAAATTATTAAGATATGAAGAACCATTTAATAATTCAAATACAATTTTTTATACTAATATTATTCATTATTTTGTGAATAAATAAATATATAAAAATAAAATATACATATTTTTTGAAAAATAATCTTATCATCAATATTAAATAAGAATAAAAAAATTAATTTGTTATTTTAATACAAAATTTTATATTAATTATTATTTTATTTTTCGATGCAATGATATGAAAAAATTATTAAGATATGAAGAACCGTCTAATAATTCAAATCCAACTTTTTGTACTAATATTATTCATTATTTTTTAAAAAACTAAATATAAATAAAATATACATATTTTTTGAAAAATAATCTTGTCATCAATATTAAATAAGAATAAAAAAAAAGACTAATTTGTTAGTTTTTTATACAACTTTTATATTAATTATTGCTTTATTTTTTTATGCAATGATATGAAAAAATTATTAAGATATTTTTTAAAATTTTACATTTAGATTATTATGAATTTTTATTTAAAAAATTATAAGAAATAAAAAAATCTTTTTTTTTTTTTACTAAAAAATTTATTAAAAACAGAAAAAAAATTATATACAAAATTTTAATTAAAAACTAGAAAATTATATGAAATTTTATCTTTTTATTTTTAATTTATATATTTTAACTAACTGATAATATAATATATATTATCCAACTAAAATAAATATATTTAATTTAACTCACAACATAAAACATAAAGCCAAGTAGTTATGGCCTAAAAGTCTAAATGACTAACGGAAGGTGATTTAACAAGACAGTGGCAACCCCGCGAGACTAATTAACAAAAAAACTAAAAGAATTGATGTGTTGACTGTTCATCACTATTCATTTACCGTAATTTGATTTTTTTTTAACTTTTGTGGGCAAGAGTTATGTAAATGTTTATACTTTGATCCCTAATATTTTTGAGCATTTTGTTTCGATCCATATCTTCATTTGCTGATATATTTTGGTCCTTAAGTGTAGAGAGAAGGGAGGGAAGAAGAGAGAGATGAGAGGATAGAGATCGTCGGCCAAGCTTTTATAGGGCAATTTAAGAAGCGAAAATCAATTAGATTTTTTTATTTTTAAGAGATGAATTTGTCCATTGTGGTTTTAAGTCATTAACCAATTAAAAGAAGTAGATCAAAGTCAAAAAAGGAAAAAAATTATGATTTGATTATGTATTTTTCTTTTGTTTTGTTGTATATTAAAATGATTTTTAAGATTTTATATGCGTTTATTAACTTTATTTTGATCACTTAGAGGTGTTTGTGGAAAAAATTGATGTCGGAATTCAATTTTTAGGGATCTAAAACTTGACCTCCGATTTTCGGACAAAGCTTCCGAGTGACCTTGAGTTCATCGAAAATTACAGTTTTTTTTTGTTTTTAGGTCGAGGAGTAGCCCAAGCTCGCGCGTGGGCTTGCAATCGCAGCCCAACTAGCCTAGTTGCACAAGCCAACCAGTGTGGCCTCGTTTTTTTTTTTCTCCCTTTCTTTCTATGTACATGTAAACCATGTGGCACAAATCAACCGGACGCTTGTCCCCCCCCCCCTTTTTTTCTTTCTTCTTTTTCCTTCGTTATATATATATAGTCGTGAAAAATATAAAAAATAAATCGTTATTTTTTCAATTTTGCGTACGGTTTAAAGATGATAGAATATACATATCCGATTATATTAGTCTTATTGCTTAAATTTATTTTTTTCAATTATTTGTTTCTTATTAAAATTCTCATCAAATTAATTTTTTGATATAATTTTATTTGTTAATAAATTTAGTTTTTTAATACATGAATTTTAAAATAAAGTTTTTGAATGTCGGTGTTTTATTTCTTTAAAATATATTATTATAATTTATACAATAAATTATTTTTTTCTTTTTAAATGAGTTTTCAATATATATATATATATATATATATATATATATATATATAGAGAGAGAGAGAGAGAGAGAGAGAGAGAGAGAGAGAGAGAGAGAGAGAGAGAGAGAAGTATGTTTTAAATAGTTTGACTCTTTTTAAAAAAAAATTAATAATCAATTAAAAAATTCACAAGTTTTATTTATTTTTTTATATATATTTATTCAAAATTTATAGAAGCCAATTTTATTGTAGTTTTTATTTTAATTTGTTGACTTCAATATATTTCATACAATTTAGGTGATTTTTTTTTATATATTTTTATATACTCGAATCGTTACGTGTATATATATATATCATTAATTTTGTTAGAAATTAACTACATATCTACATACATAATACTGATTATTTGTTATTTATTTTTTTATATTTTAAAATTTTTTAAAATAAAATGAGTTAGATAATATTTTGAAAAACCTTTTAATTATTTAAATACGAATTTTTATGCTAATATTATTAAATATTTTGTTAATAAATATATATAAATCAAATAATTTCGCTCAATATATAAATTCGATTTACATTATTTATCATAAATAAAATTTCTCCTCACACTATATCCTATGAATGATTAATTTTATGTATACAATATTTGTTTTACGACAACATAGAATAGGTATTATCCTATATACTAAAGCAAAATGGTTTTCATCGTAGCAATGAACAGTGTAAATCACTATTCATTGCTACGGTGTTTTTTTTAATTTCTATTAATTTTTTTGGCTAGACCCCCTCCCCCAACAATCCGTTTACTTGTTCATTTGAACAAGAAACGCCTGCCCTCCTTCTTTTTTTTTTTTTAAACATTTAATTTTTTAAAAAAATTTCCACTCATTTACTCGTTCACATGAACGAGTAACGCTTGCACCCTTTTTTTTCTTTTTTCTAAACATTGAATTTTTTTTTAATTTCTGTTTCTTAATAGTATTTGGTGTTAAAATTTTAAAAGAACCAACAATTAATTAGGTGTTAAAATTTTAAAGAAACCAACAATTTATTTCCTTTATTATTTATTTTTAAATTTTTTTAAAAAATAAGAAATAGTTAAATATAAAATTTTTTATTAAAAAATTATAATTATTTTTTATCATAAAACAGATTATTAAATTGAAATAATTTTTCTAAACGATTTTATATATTTTATCCAATCCGCGACATAGAGCAGGTAAAAAATCTAATACTATATACTAAAGAAAAACCATTTTTCACTATAGCAATAAACAGTGTTAATCACTTGTTCATTGCTATATTACTTTGGCTTTTTTTGTTTTTTAAGTTTTCATTTTTTTTTTTTTTGCCAGCACTAGCTGGCCTTTCCCCCCTCCTTTTTTTTACCCGTTTATTGTTCATTTGAATGGTAAATCCTTGCCCTCTTTTTTTTTTCTCTCTAAACACTATTTTTCTTTTAATTTCCGTCCATTTACTATTCACATGAACGATGAAACTACTGGCCTCCTTTTTTTTCCCTAAACATTGAATTTTTTTTTAATTTTAATTTCTTAATAATATTAGGTGTTGAAATTTTAAAAGAACCAACAATTAATTGGGTATTAAAATTTTAAAGAAATCAATAATTTATTTGCTTTATTATTTATTTCTAAAATTGAAAAACACAAATAAAAAATAGTTAAATATAATTTTTTTATTTAAAAATTATAATTATTTTTTATCATAAAACAAATTATTAAACTGAAATAATTTTTCTATATGATTTTATATATTTTATCCAATCCACAGCAGTAGTAGCGGGTAAAAAATCTAGTCTAACTACTGAAACATAATTTAACAAGACATGGCAGTCCCACTAGACCACGCAGCGTAGCTAAATCTCAGGATTTTGTAACGTAACTTGTACGGACCATGATTTCTTTAAAAATAGCATTAGTTTTTACGTAAAAAAAATTAAACGTTACCTAAATAAACGTAAACTAATTCCTTTCCCGTAACCAAAAAATAAAGTGAAGTCACCTATCGCTTTAACGAATGGGCAAAAAGCAGCCCTAAATCTCGGCCGCTCCAGCCACATCGGTATTTGTGGGCCCATCATATGGGACTAGTGTAAAACTAACAAAATGCTAAAATCGCAATGGGAAAAGATACACGAAAAGATGTTGGTACCGTGGAACATGTGAAAGGCAGAGTCGAGAGTTTTTTTTTCCCGTTTCTACAACTTAGAAATTTGGAGAAAGATTTGCTCACAATGAGTAGCAATAAGCTCAATCAATGCTCGCAAGAATTTAAGCGAAAAATTGGAGCAGTAAAGAATCATAATCACAGCATTGCACATGGAATGAATGTAGTCGATTGGGAAAATCTTAAAAAAAATAATAATAATAAAAATTGGATAACTGGCAGCCATTTTCCGGCCATAAAATGCTCATTCATGTTGACTAAACCTATACAATTACTGCCGTTTCTATAATGTCAGATAGTCATGAACATGCACGCTATGAGAAAGGAAAACAGACAGAGGTCCCAGTTGTGAGTGTATCTATATCTATACCTGTGTAAAAGCAAGATGTTGAAAGCTTGGTATCCATGAGGATTTTGACAGGTAATGTCTCTACCATTCGGACTTTCACAGCTTTTTCTGATATGCCAGAAGCTGGAAAAAAAAAAGGGCAAAAAGATATATTTGTTACGTGCTCATACAGCTATTCTCATCTGCATGTGAGCATGGATATAAGTAGATGTTAACTAAGAAAAGGAGCTCACCAGGTACCCATAAATGGAATTGTTTGTTTTAAGTCCTCCCAGAGTTTCTTTTTCCTCTAAAACTTGCAATTTACCTTTGCGTGGATCGATTAAACTAGGTTTAGAAATTGGAGTGCTTGTGGAGATTGAAAAGCCGAGCTTAGAATTCATTTCTTGGACCAAGTATATTTCCACTTCATTGGCTTGCAAAGAGGTTTGGAAAGCAACGTACTGCAATCAAACAAAGAATTGATAACCAATTCTACAAGCTGACCAAGCTCTTAAGATAAAATTAGGTGTTATTAATAAAAAACAGGTTTTAGGTTGGAAGAAGGATCACCTGGCACAGGTTCTTAATAGACAAAGTTGGCCTGCAGCAAAGGTATGGGCGCTGCAAATTGGGTACTCTTTGTTCATCAAAAGAAACAAGCATGAGGTTGATATCCAACTGAAATTAAAGAAAGCAGGTCAATCATTTCAGAGCAGTAAAGTGAGAGCTCAAGGGGAAATAATAATCTAGAAACAGAATGGTTTCACTAAGTCGACAGTCATATCGGTTAAATGCAGAGTCTGCGACTCAGAATGCAAAACCGTTTGATCTGGTTTATAGCTGCAAATAACGTTCAATAGTTCCTCATTATATGTAGTCCACAACATAACCAGCCATGGATCAACTTTACCTCATTATAATTTTCCTCCAAGTTCTGTAGATAATCTGCTAACTTAGAGATGCGGCTGTTTCGAGCATTTTTTACATTGCTGCCGTTTGCACTGCCATACCAGGTGTGACTCCGGATACGGTTTTTGCCCCAGGCGAGCCTTTCTGAGGAGCCAGCGAGCACAGCAGATGCCCCCACAGATTCTTTATTCGCTTCTGAATCATTTTCATCACCACCTCCATCTGCATTAACAGCAGCTGAACGAGCACCTGCCCATCTCTTGTATCTTTTTGGTTTGACTTCTGCACTGTGTTCATCGGTAGATGATGAATCTTTACCTCCATCGCCATTTCCATCTTCATTGTCATCAGATCCTTGAAGTTCGGTCATTCGATAATTTCTTCTTCCCCTTGAGTGGGCATCTCGAAAACGATTTGGTGTTCTCCTTGCAAATGCTGCTGCTGTTGCTTTAGCTGTCGGCCGTTTTCTACTCAGAGCTTCAGCCTGTCGACGAAAAGTCTGGGCAATGGTAGCCTGGATCTGTCCAAATAAAGCTTGGCATTAAAGACCTTTAAGGAATGAATTGGGAGAAGACATGGCAATTTTACTGCAACGGATTAACCAGCAAGGCCTAAAAGGCTAACACTCAAAATGACAACATTGGTGATACGCATTATCAAAAATCTGTATTAAAAGTCAAGTCAGAGGTTACTGAACAACTGAGCGCAACATGAAAGACTAAAACATATGGATCCAAATAGAAATAAAGAGTTGTTGAATTACATTTCATGGTTTGACTATTCAAGCAGTGATGATGCTATTGATTGACCCATAGCATGTACATGTGAAGAATGATTTAGTCTTTTGCTTGTGAAACTTTCTTTAGTGGACTAACTAAATTCACTAGGAATTTCAAGAATCAATGCATGTGAATCTGTACTCACCTGCTTATTGCGAGCCTTCTCATCTTCTTGGAAAGCCAATTCCTACAACAGATCAAACAAATGATGATTGAATTTCAATTTTTTTATACAGAAAACAGATTTCATTAGGTGGAACCTATTTACCTCTTCCTCATATTTGTCAATATCTGGATACAAAGCTGCAATTAATGCATCATAATTTGGGTCATCTCTCAAAGACCTACGACTGGCACAATGTGTGCGGCAAGCGGGGCACTCATTGTTCCTGTAGTGAATTTCAGTATACATTTTCAATAAGGTGGATTTTTAATCTCAGAGCACCTTCTTTAAACAGATGCTAGGGGGAAATAATCATTCAACAAGATGTTGGTACCCGAGCCGCATAGATTTGTCAATGCATTCCCTGCAGAAACGATGCAGACATTCCATCACTGTTCTTGTCTTACGAATAATCCCTGCACATAAAAATGAAGAAATCAATTTTGTACGAACAAATATTTCGGTTTGTTTATAAAGAAGGGACAGTGGCTACTGTGACTAGAATATATGAGATAATGAGCATGAAAGCAATTAGTGAAATCGCTGTGCTATTTATGTATCCTAGAGAAAAAAGTTTTTGTTAAAGAACAGTTAAAGAGAAGAGAACATCTTGCTATTTGCAATTTAGGATCTGTCAAAAGTTATCTCAAAGTTAATAAAACAAAGACCTAAACTCATACCTAGACAGATTGGACATTGTACTTCCTTGCGTATCTCAGACAACTTCACGACAACATATCTGCAAACAAGCACCAACACAACAACGTTGGTCACCAGCATAGACGCAGCCAATTGTCGATGTCTAGTACTCAGCAACATTTTTTTTTCCTTCATGCATAAGAATTATTATCGAAAGTATTAATTTGTATACCTGGGATATTTATGAAAATCAAACTTCATTAGTAGCCCCATTATGTACAGTAAAAAGCATATTAAACCAGGCTGCTCTTAAATGGACTCAGCCGAAGTATTAGTCCAAACTAGTGGGGGTGGAAAATAACACAAAAAAGAACAGCAAAATGCTTGCATGCATATTAAATCCTCCGAAGATGTTAATGACAGGAAGTCGACCAAAGAATTATGAAAGGTAAAGGGAATTCAACTTTGGTCCTAAAGTTATGCTCCATCGTAGAATCTGTTTCTCTTTTTTTTAAATGAAAAAAAAAAAAAAAAAAGTCTTCTGCAAAGATCACATTTCCATTCAGTTATTAGCATCCAGAAGCACATAAAAGATTATTATAAATCAAACATCATCTAAAATTTCACTTAGCCAAAAGTCAGTTATAGGACCTGCAGTGATACCATTAGCTGGAAAATTTGATTGCATACACAATCTTAGACTTGTTAGTTGTGCCTCTAATATGAACCTGCGGTTCAGCATAGACATAGAAATAGCAGCTTGATGGTGTGTAAATCTCAGTTTCAAAAGGAAATTCATGGTATAATACAACTGACACCAATCTCTCTTGAACTGTCATAGGAACAGATAAAGAATGCTTGTGCATCTCATTTATTAGATCTATACTTCTACTCAAGTTGTTGACACAATACGCTAAAAACAAGAGATTGCACGCTGGTCTGGACTAAACATACAATAAAAGAAGGGCAACCATTTGGACATTGCAGTATATCAGATCCCAAACCAATAAATCCCATGATTAAAAAAAAAAAAAATCTAACTATTCAGTATGCCAAATGTAATCAAAGAAACAAAACAGATGTTATATATCAAACAAATTCATCAAATTGAAAAATAAATAAATTAGGTTCACAATTATGACAACATTGCACAACTCATACGCTTGCAGCTTTGTCCAGTATCATCATTCAGCTCCTTGGAAAATGCATATATGTCCCATAGCTCCACATGGTGTAACAAAAATAAAAATAAACAAATAAAAGCACTACAATTCCTTGACTCTTAAATTTAAAGAACTGGATCGTTGAGTTGGTTAACAGCTTATCAGAAATTATGAAGCTGCCAGTTAAACCACTTCCTGGACCAACTTGTTTCACTTAAATTAATCCAAGTCAAGAACTTACTGCAAACAAATTCACACTGCATATCCGAGAGGAAGACAAACAAATACATATGTGGAAATCAAACAAACCAGCAAACATGCAAATACCGGAATCTTACCCAGCATATACAAAATTTTCAGCCACATAAACAAATCCCGATATGAAACTGCCTGCAATTATCTTATGACATGCTACTTATATATGGTAACACGAGAAAACCAACTTTCATGCACAAAAACCGATTCGAGCCAAAATCACCACGGCCCTTTAAACCCAAAACCAAACTCCTCACACCATCACAGAGAAATACGCAGTTCAGAATTCAACGATAGATAGCTTGCCATTGCCAGAAAAGGGAGGAGAAACTTCAAGAAACCCACAAAGCTTGTCCACTTATACACTAATAAAATGTACGAACCAAGCAAAAATGAAGATCCCAAATCAAATAGCAACAGCATAATCGATACAACAAAGCGATCCAAAACAAGAAAAACTTACTCTTCTTTCACGTCTTCGTTAATACTTGAAGAAGACTGGCTTCGATCGGATTCTGTTGAAGTGAAAAGGAACAAACTTAGCCAAGAAACGGTAATCGAATCCACAATAAAATGCACAAAGGGAGAACTAGTGCTTGTTATTATCGTAAGAATCCCTGCACACGTACGCTCATCAACACCATCATCGTCATCATGATCAATATCGCCTAGAGGCTGTTGCTTTCGTTCATGGTTGTTGTTGTTGTTAGTGTGGTCATGCTGCTGCTGAAGAAGACCATCATCTTCCTTTCCGAGGGTCTCATAGGAACGCTTCTGGGCTGGCATTTTTGTCTTGAAAGCCAAAATATATACAATATTAATAATGAAGCAAAGGAATTGAAGGGGATTTTGTTTTGCTTTTAGTTTGCTAAATGGTAATGGGTGCTGGCTGGTTGCTGCTGGTTCTTCCTGATTCTTTAGAGAGATAGTGGAGAAGGAAGGTGGTGGTGGTGGTGGTCGAGTACCGCTTGAGGTTTGTCTTGACCTTTCTTCGTTTTAGAGAGAGAGAGAGAGAGAGAGAGGCGGATGGGCAGAGAGGCTGTTTCTCGTGCCAATTGTATTACACGACTTGCGTGTATTTTTCCTTTTATTTTATACATGTGTGCTCCTATAAATTAGATTCTTTCTATGTAATTGGATCTATGCATTGTGCATTTTATGTAAATTATGTTTTTGAGGCATTATAAGCTTTTAAATTTATACATAAATGTGTATGACAATATAAGGTCTAATATTACTTATCGAGTATGTAATTAGGTTATATCCATTGTACATGCTTACTCTATATTTTTACATAAATATATGCGGCAGCATAAGGTCTAATATTACGTGTCGAATATGTAATTGGGCGATATCTATTATACATATTTATTGTATAATTTTTTTATGACTCGAGGACACACTAGCTAATTCCAAATTACAAATGAGATGCATTGTTATTAAAATACTTATAAATATTATTTGGGAGGCAGTGAAGCTGGAATATATGAGGATGAAAAAAAAATTAAAGACTCATGTATTCAAATAATGGATTCATAAGTTGCATGTTAGGGATTAATGAGTAACTCTTTTTCATTTTGAAGGGTCATCTTGTATAAGAATGTAAAACATTTTCGGAAGAAAACATATTAAAGTCTGGGAACTTGTTTTGACCTTTCGAAGGTCGCGGCCCCCGCCTAAGCTCCTGCTCAGAGGAATTCGATGAGTTAAGTATAACTTAGCCCCTGTAGTTTGGCAAATTTAATTAATTAGTTCTTATATTTTTAGAAACTATAAATTTAGTCCTTATATTTTAAATCTGTTTATATTTTTTTTTCATTTCATGTTCTTTTCTAATATGTTTTTTTTTTCTTTAAAAAATAGATAAGATGAAAAGATTTATGAGAAAATAGGGTTTTTTAACCAAATGTTACTAAATTAAGCATAATCAGTACTAGTCAAAAAACTATTTAATTATTTTTTATATTATAGAGATTAATTAATTTATTCTAATAAACTATAGGAACTAATTTATAATTAACTCGAAATTCGATCAATATGTTGAAACTGAAGTTTGGGATCATGCTTCCACAAGTAGAGTTTTAAGACAAAAAGAAGCCACAAATCCATTTATGATAAAACTTAAGAGTTTAGATATTGAACCATGAAATTGAATGTCGTATTGAACTAAATGATTATCGACCTAAATTAAGTAATTAATTTCAATGTATATTTAACTACATTGAGTCAAGATACAAAAATATTTAACATGGTTAATAATACCCAAATATGAATGCTAGTTAGATCAATAAAAAAAAATAGATGAATTATGTACTCGAGACCTCATTAGAGAGAAACTTAATCTCGATATATGCTAAATAACATGGATCATAAAATACCCTTATGATCATTAAGAAAACAAAACTACGAATAAAAAAGCAATATAGAGAATCAAAGAGAACTATCTTAAAATTTTCAAATCCGAGTCGAGTATACGAGAACCGATTGCATAGCATACATAAAGATGAGTTTTAACATTATAAATCATCTAAAAAAATAAATCACATCGAACGAGTAAAAACCTATAAATAATAGTATAGACCTAAACGTCGGATTTAATCTAAACTAAAAAAAATAATGAGGTTGCGTTGGTGAGAGATACTAACTACAATTAAACAATTATCTTATGAAAAACTAGCGTTTATGTTTTTTTTTTTCCCCCTTCCTCTTGAGAGAAGTAGATCTCATAAAAATAAAAAAAGAGTTAAATTAAGTTAAAATTTTAACTACATTAAAGATAAATATATCTACCTATTCTTATATAATACTCGAATCCCCTATCTCGCTTTTAGATTTTCAATCGCATTTGCATTTGAATTGTCCGTGAAAATTTTTGAAATGTTCAATTTATCTTTTTGATCTTAAATATTATTTTTTTTACCGAAATGACCTTTACTAAAATGTGAAAAAAAAAAACACTTAAATTCACATTACCTACTTGTTCTATTTTTGAGTCTTTAGAATTTTATTTTATTTTTTTCTTGAATTTCAATGAGGGACATTTCGGTTAAAAAAATTCATTTGGCTGAAAAAATTGATCGAAAAAATAGGTTTAACATTTCGAATACTTTCAAAGATATATGAAATGCAATTAGAAACTTAGGAATACATGAGAAATTTTAAGTATTATATAAAGACAAATGAAGATGTTTATCTTTACAATAATAATTAGTAATATCATTTTTATAGAAAAATTAAGCATAATTTATTTTTTATTTTTTGTAAATTTTATATCAATTGCATGCGAAAAATCATTGAAGTAAAATCTCCACTCTTTTTTTTTTTTTTTTATAGTGGAAAGTATTCAAAAAAACAAAATGTATATGATCGTTGACATCATTTGTGAGTTATTGTCAAATGAGTTTGCAAATTCTCTCAATGGCCTTCTTATTGGCATCCCACGATGTGCTTCTTTGACTTAGACCCACGTATTTTGGCTTAATTTTTACTTGTATTTTCGTTTTCATGCATTCATTTGTTAAACCACGACCCTTGTGGGGGTTTGACACTTCTAGTTCAAATATGTTTGTTTGTTAAATAAGGGACTTTCTAATCTATTTATCTAAAACACCAATCTAAATATAATTTTTGTTTATTTATTAAATAAGAGACTTTCTAATCTGTTTTTCTAAAATAAGGTAATTTAAATTAAAATATGATGGTTTTTGTCAATCTGCCATCATGTCATCTTTTCTCTCAGCCAACTAAATTAAAATATTTGAATATTACAAGAATCAAAATAAAACTCCATCATCGCCTTCAACCTTTACCAACAAATAATGGTTTAACCCATTGATGAAAGTGTCTAAAAAAAACACAAACAAAAACCATAGATTTTCATTTTTTTTTTTATCCTTAAATAGCAGATCATGGTGCCATGGACTAAAAAAATATATAAATTAATCCAAAATAACCCATTCAAAATCATATTTATCAACAAAAACATTGTACAAATTTTTTATCCTTAAACGGTAAACTTAGTCTTCATAAATCATTCACGGCACATCTCAATCAATCTATATCTTTGATAACTATTTCAATTCTCTAAATACATGTTATAAAGCATGTCTTTTCTTTTAATATTTGATGCCAATTAAAATTCAATTTCTTTAAGTGAAATTGTGTGTATAAATGACTTGACTGTTATTTAATATCACATGAAAAATATATGAGCTCGATTGAAAAATGAAAAAAACGCTTACCTATACTCAACCTTATATTAAATTTCCATTTAAGTACCTTAGTTTTGATTATATCAATTTGAATACTTCAGCATTCATTTTATTTTTTTCTAATATGCGGCTTTTCGTGACAACATTAGGAAATTGATGACACGGCCGTTATCCCATGTCATGTAGCGATGAAATATTGGATCTGAATTGAAGAAATGAAAGAATGAATTAATACCGTCACGAAAAAAATACAGCCAAATAAAATAAAATAAAATATTGGTAAGATATTGATTAATATTAGAGATAAGAGATCATTTTAACCCCTTCTATCCCTTAATTAAACTATAAATCAACACCAACCAAGATCAACAATCCCACAACCACCATAATGGTGTTTAATTCATGTTGGTGATGGTGGACTATTCAAGGTATGCTAATGATCGTCGATTGTTTGAAATAGTGATAGATATTGTGATTACGATGATGTAGTTGATTTAATTTTAAATTTGACTATTTTCTCTCTCAAGTTTATTAATGATATATATGTTCAATTTAGCTTTGAAAATTGTTGTCTTATCTTTTATATCAATTAACATTTTATTTTATTTCTATAAATATGAATTAATTTTCATGAATCTCTAAATCGACTATTTTTGTTTTTTGTTTACATGATATGGTCATGAGATATTCAAATATAAATTTTTTAAAAAATTAGATACTAAATATGTGTTTTCTTTTTTTCAACCCAAACCCACATTATTTATATACTAAATTAAAGTTTGTTAGTTGATTCATAATTCACTAGTCGTTTAATTGGTTAGTAACAATATACCATATTAATTGATAATGGTATAAAATAAGGCCGATCCAGACAAAGATGCATGTGAAAATCAAGAACATGGATGATCGTGGATTTGAAGCTCTGCCTCATGTACGCTGAGAGAATAGCTGACCAATCTGCTGCAGAATATTTGCCGGCCAAAATTCAATGTTTAGTTGTTCGAAGCTTCATCCATAAAAAAAAAAAAAAAAAAAAAAAAAAAAAAAAAGAAAAAGAGGCTTCATGCACGTTGTTTAGTTTGTTTACTGAGTAAATTATAAATTAATCCTTTTAGTTTAGAGAAACAAAGTAATTAATTTTTCTTATTTTTAAAACTAATTATTTAATCTTTATGTTTTTAATTTTTCTTGTAACTTAATAATTTTTTAATTTAATTTAATTTTTCGTTTTAATAAATAAAAAAAATAAAATAAGTAAAAAATGCAAAAAAAATTGATAAGAAAAGAATTTTTTTTTAAAAAAAATTCAATTAATATTAAATTACATATAGTCAACACTATTAAAGGGATTAAATACTTAAACTTTGAAATAATAGATACTAATTAAATAATTAAATTACCATTTTTAGATAATATATTTGATATATTTATTCACACAAAATTCAATTTTTTTATTCATTTTCATATGTTTGAAATTGAGAAGTGATGGAAAAGAAGCAAAAATACTTTCAAATTTTATATTTATGAAACAAGAATGTATAATCTTGGTATTGATTCATGATATTTTTTAGAAGAGCAATCATGAATTAAAATATCAATACATTGATTTTAGAAATTAATTTTTCAAGGAAACAAAAAATTCATGTTGTCATTATGTGTGTCAAAATTAAAAATCTCCCGGATGGGTAATGAATGTAATTATGAGCAGAATAAATTGATTCACCTCCACGACGTCGTTCTCTGTTTGCCGTGTACCTCGAATTTCTAGAACTAGATGTCATCAATGCCTTCTTCAGTGTCTGCGAAAGTAAAAACGCAACAAAAACAGTTAAACTTGAAAGTCAATTCAATCCAATAACCAGCTTTCCTCCTTTTCTCACACAAATCAGCTTCATGAGTTTGCCCGAAACCGTAGATTTTGCCCGTAAATTCGCTGCCATGGTCAGAATCCAAGGCCCTGTAAGTCCCTCAATCACCTATACACGAATATGTACTTTATAGCTTTAAAATGAATGTATGAAATTTTTATTTATTTTTTTTTTATGGAGTTCTTTTTTCTTATAGGACCCAAAAGGACTAAAGATGCGAAAACATGCTTTTCACCAATACAAGTGAGTGAATTTATTTTCAAAAATGTTATTTTGGAATACAAATTTGCTTTCTTTTTTAATTTTAAAGTGTTCTTATTGAAGTTTATCTATCTGGGTATGAGTAGTTCTGGCAAGACAACACTTTCAGCTTCTGGATTCTTATTACCTGACGCCCTTTATGATGCTGACTTGGCTAACCGGATTTTGGAGCGTAAAAGCCAGGGTCTTGGGTTGGTAGTCACAGTCGCTTCTGTTATTGAGCCTTTTTTGTCATCAAAACATAGAGAGAGCATTTCTCAGGTTTCAATTACTTCAATTGAATGCTTAATTGGATTTGTTTCGTTGACTTTGGATTTTTTATTTTATTTTATTATTATTATTGCTTTTTATATGATGTGAATTGTGGGGGTTGTTGTTGTTTGATTGCAGGGTCGACCCGAGTTGATTCCTGATGCTCAAATTGATGTTATGGTAGAGGTATGCGATAATAATATGCAAGTTGTTAATTTGGTTGAAATGTTTAGTAGCTGGACTTATACTGTTTGAATGTATTTTGGCTTGCAGGGAAAGTTGGATTTGAGGAAAGATGCAGATGGGGGTTTGGATAAAGGAGCCTCTTGCTGGCTCAGCGCACAAGTTATTAGATTGGTAGGTATTTCAAGTGACTTGTCTGTTGAGCTGAACGTTGAGGAAGCCTTAGAAAGAATGCAGTCTATGCTTGCGTAACTGCATTGAAAAGTAGTTATCTTACACTAGCCTAATAAGTATTAAATTGTGATTTTCAGTTACTTTGTTGTGTAGCTTTGTTAGTAAAGTGGAGCATAATGGTTTTGTTATATTCACAGTATCCATGTGATGACTAAGTATGATATTGATAGTTGCAGGACATTAATTTGGCTTTTTGTAATCTTAAAAGTATGGTTTGGCATGCACATTCATCACTCTAAGTGGAATGTTTACAGTATTTAAAGGCCAACGGTAGTGAAAAATTCAGCTTTTGTGTTTTTCATGGGGTCGAAATTGATTCCATGTTATTCTCTATGATGGTGCCCCTGCTTCTACTTTTCCATGATAGCCTTAACTTAAATTACCAATCAGCAAGATTAAATAACATAGAGACAGTGAATTGATGTTCCATTTCATGTATGTCAGATGTCAAATGCAGCTTAAACTTATGTTAGTGTCTGGATGTTAAATTTGTGTTGAAACTTCAACTGCACTGTCAACTGAGCACATTCAATGCTTCTTGTTTTCAATATTTGAAATTGCACTTCATTTTGGTGTTCAAGGATAATGATATGTCTAGATTACATACTCATTACTGCTATGCAACGTACTAATAATTAATCAATTCTCTATGAAGGTTGATGTTCCTGTATCTTCCCTTGCTCTTCAATCGCTTGTTGAAGCTTCTTCAGGTTCAATGGACCATGGATGGGAGGTTGGTTGGTCTCTAGCCTCACATGAGAATGGTCCTCAGCCTTTTATGGATGTTGTCCAGACACAGGTTAGTAAAGGACAATGTTTTCCCGAAGGACTATCTTCATCGAATATGAACATATGGGATATGGGATAAGTAATGCTGAATTGATCCTCTCAGACTGAGCATGGAAATGCATCTGTTGCTGAGAGCCAGAGGAGTGCAAGAGTAGAATCTAGCAATCCAAGCATTATGGGCAAGTCGATCACTAGAGTTGCTATTCTTGGTGTTTTCTTACATTTGAAGGTACATTGTACCTTTTGTTTTCTATTCGTATGTTTCCTTTTTATATGACACTTCGTGACAACCCATGCACATTATTTTTTTGTTGTTATAATCCTTTTACATTTCATGCTATTAAATATAGATGTGGATTTTATCATTTAGGATCTGCCCAACTTCAAAACATCGGCATCAAGTAGAAGGGGAGATTTTCTTTTAGCAGTGGGTTCTCCTTTTGGTGTCCTCTCTCCTGTTCACTTCTTTAACAGGTATTCTTCTATGCTTTTCGAACTTGTTTTGATGTCTATAGTTATTTTGGAATCTTAGATCACATTGCTGATAATTTTTTTTTTTTTTTTAACGTCGAAAGCACAGTACAGTGCATTTGTTTCATCTATTCTTAAATGGCCATATAGGCGGCACTGACTTCTAGTTTGCTTGACATATTGACATTAATCCTAGAGGAGATTATTTATTTACCTGCTGTTTTAAAGTAAAAAAGAAAAAGAAATTTCTATATTCTGTGGTCATCTAGCCTTCCAAAAATCAAACTGGATTAAATATGTGTGTCTGTGTGCATAGATGGGTGTTTGAATAATGAAAATTCCCATTGCGGTATTGCTACCTCATGCTTTACATGAAGTTTCATTGTCTAATTCTTTTGATACTTGCAGCTTGTCAGTGGGATCCATTGCCAACTGCTATCCTCCTAGATCATCAGACATATCATTGCTGATGGCTGACATTCGGTGTCTTCCAGGTGCAAGCATTTCTCTGTCATATTATTTGTGGCTCTTTCATCCTTTACAATTCTGATTCCATTTTGGCTCTAAATATGCCAGGAATGGAAGGTAGTCCTGTTTTTGGTGAAAATTCAAATTTCATTGGAATATTGATTAGACCATTGCGGCAGAAGAGTAGCGGTGCTGAAATCCAGGTAACTTGGAATAATCTCAATTTGAATTTTTTAAATTATCTGATAGTTAACAGATCATACAAATTTTAGCCTTGGGTAACAGCTGGTGATTCCGTGGGAAGCCATTGCAACTGCTTGCAGTGACTTGCTGCTGAAGGAGCCTCAAAATATGGAAAAAGGGATTCATATTAATAAGGAAAACTTAAATGCTGTAGGGAATGCATACAGCTCTAAGTCAGATGGACCCTTCCGTTATAAGTACAAGCATCATAATTCTTATTGCCCTTCACCACTGCCAGTTGAGAAGGCCATGACTTCTATTTGTCTTATTACCATTGATGAAGCTGTATGGGCATCAGGGGTTCTGCTTAATGATCAAGGTCTGATACTCACAAATGCTCACCTGTTAGAACCTTGGAGATTTGGGAAAACAACTGTAAATGGTGGAGAAGATGGAACCAAATTGCAGGACCTTTTTATTACACATGAAGAATTTCCTAGATACAGCGAAGTTGATGACTATGAGAAGATTCAGAGGCTGCCCCCAAAGACACTCAACATTGTGGATTCTTCTGTTGCTGATGAGAGCAAGGCATACAAACTGAGTTTGTCTTACAAAGGCCATAGAAATATACGTGTTCGTTTGGATCATGCTGACCCTTGGATTTGGTGTGATGCTAAAGTAGTGTATGTTTGTAAGGGACCTTTGGATGTTGCCCTTCTGCAGCTTGAACATGTTCCAGATCAGCTTTGCCCTACCAAAGTGGATTTCGAATATCCATCTTTGGGATCAAAGGCGTATGTTATTGGACATGGACTATTTGGACCACGATGTGGTAAACACTTGCTTGCTATATATTTTTCTTGTTAGATTTATTAATTCAGGAGTTTTGCTTTAAATTAATTTTCTATAATTGTGTCATTCTGGGCCTCTGCCTGTTGAAGAACTTAAATATCCGGTTATAGCTATTATAAAAGAATGTAGTTGACTACTCTTTTAGACACCTTTTGGCTTCTCCCCTTTTCAATTCCTTCTTTGCTATCAGTGCATCCTTAATTGAATTGCTGTTTCAATAATTCTTCTAGTACTTTCATACTATACGTTCACTAATACATGATCTCGTTTATGTGCATCCTTAATTGAGTTCTACTTTGGAAATGGTTTAGTAATTCTTTTAGTACTATCGTACTGTACTATAGCTAATACATGATGTCATTTATGAAATTTATCGTGTTTTATCTGAAGTATTATATAAAGACTGTATGTTAAGATAGGTGGCCTTATCCTTCAATCCAACTTTAGAAACTTTCTGCTGTGGATTATACCTTTTCATTTGTGCTGTCAATGTGCTGCATAGAAATGTAACACACGAACAATGATTTTTTGGTTTCTTGAAAAAATGGTTATATATTCATATGATGTGCATGAGCCCATATCATTTATTGCTTTTGACTTTCTGCTAAATAGATAATTCCATTAGCAAGTTAAGTTTGAAGATTCTCTTGATTTTTTTTTTTTTGCTTTACTACATGCTTTTTAGTAAATCTGTTTATGCCTTTAAATTTGCAGGCTTTTCCCCCTCTGTTTGCTCTGGAGTGGTATCAAAAGTAGTCAAAGCAAAGGCACCCCCATATTGTCAATCTGTTCAAGGAGGGGATTCACAAGTTCCAGCAATGCTTGAAACAACAGCTGCTGTCCACCCAGGTGGTAGTGGTGGTGCTGTTGTTAATTTAGAAGGTCATATGATTGGAGTTGTTACCAGGTACAGTAGCTTATATTTCCTTTTCTTTTCTCTGATGTTATGTGGTTCGATGCAATTGGCCTTTGGTTATCATGCCACTATTGAAACTGTCTGCCGCTCAATATGAGCATATGTAATCCATCTGAATTTTGTGCTGGTTGCTTATGGACTTGCTTCGACGGGGAATGTGTCAAACAACGTATGTCAGCAAAGACAGTGTGTTGACATACCTGCATTCATCAAAACTTCTCTTTCTAGTATACATATTATTATTTTTTGATGGATGGAACTTTTTTTCTGTGTTTATGAGCTCTCAAGCAAGTCTTCTTTCTTGTTTTCGTCATTTTCTCCTAATTAAGTTCTTCAGTGCTTGTCGATTGAACTGCTTTATTGAGTGAGATATATTCTTAGCACAGCAATGCAAGGCATGGTGGAGGAACAGTTATACCGCATCTGAACTTCAGCATTCCATGTGCAGTTTTGGCACCTATCTTTGATTTCGCAAAAGGTTGTTTCATCTGAACCCTAGCTTTGACAACATGTCAATAACGAAATGAATTCATCTGTATTCTCAAATAATTTAGATGCTCAAGCTCATCATTGTAGAGTGATATGCTTTATTAATTAATGACCACGAACACCGAGAGAGAGTTTTTCGAGAATCGTGTTTCATAAAAGTTATTAAAATAACGTTTCTATGTCATTCTTAGTCTTTACTCAATAAGTATTGGGAATATAGCAATTATAGGATTCAATTTGATATGTGATACAAGATGAATCTATCCATTTCACGAGTTTTTGTGTGTTGGCTTTGTTTTCTGCTGTAGCTTATGAACGTGAGCATGATTGTGAATGCTGACAAATTTGTTTTTCTTTTGACAGATATGCAGGATATTTCACTTCTGCAAAATCTTGACCAGCCTAACGAACACCTTTCTTCGGTATGGGCATTAATGCCACCACTCTCCCCTAAGCCAAGCCCTCCTTTGCCTACAATCCTGCAAGATAATGAAAAACAAGTGAAGGGTTCTAAATTTACCAAATTCATTGCTGAAAGAGACAAGCTTTTCAGAGGGTCGACTCAACTAGGCAAGGCAGATAGCATTTCAAATCTGAGTTTTCCCAGTAAGTTATGACAGTGTACCATTTTGTATCCCATAAGGAGGATAAATTATCCTCGTTGGATGTTGTAGCAGCCACTGCCTCAGAGTAAATCTGCAATTACATATCCATGTGCTACTTCATTTATTCTATCAAATAATTAAATAGAAATTTTCGCAAGCAGAACACTTGCTATGTCCAACCTACCGGATCTGCTCCAACTTCTGCTCCAACTTTAATATCAACGAATCCTTCTTCCGAGTGCATCTGCTGCATATTCTGCAATTGCACATTCAAATAAATCATCTTCAGAATTCAGGCCCTACATTCAAAGACTCGTATATGTGGTGGTATATATGGGAACATTGAGATATTAATACACTACAACTCCATTCATTGTTAGTGAAATATACTTGTGCTTACTACATCAGCTTCCACTTGTACGTCAAGAAAACCGGCATCATCAAATCCTGCTTCAGTGTTAACAGTTTCGTTGTTGTTCGCTGTTTGCCCACTTTCATTCTGCTTCCTACCGTGCCAGGTGATCTGCAGTAGAAATCCTCCATTTCGGAGATGGTTGGCCCTGTCCTCAAACACGAAGGGTGGTCGACCATTACGGGCATCGCTTTGGTTCGAATTATCTGCACATCTGCACTCTTTATGGTTCTCGCTACCGATATTGATGTTGCTCCACTTGACCTAAAGGCATAATCACACATTCTACCTGCTTTTGCGTTCAATTCTTCTAAACCATTTTTCACAAATATTAAAAGTAGCTCATTTGTGAACGCATAGGTTGCCATTGACCTAAACAATACTCGTACAACTGCGAAACTCCTGTGGGCAAATGCCCGTAAACCTGTGAAATTCCTCATCTATGACAAATTGTCGACAGTTGCTTATCTATATACGGAACACATGAGTGTTCTGATTTGATCAACGTCCTCACACGTCAAAAACCGTCACCATATAGCAACTTAAGATCCATGTAATATTGAACATATTGCACCTACGCCAAACTTCAAGAGTGGCTCCAAGTTTTCTTTCGAAGGGGTTCGTCCAATTTGTCCACCATTTCATATCACAAGTTATTATTTGATGGATTCATGTTTAGAACTTGCGTTGCCACGCAATGGGTGCACAGGTTCAGTGAATTTTGGAAAACCTTCAGTTTCTCAGTCATGTATACCTTAAGGAATTGCCTTTCAATCCAGAAACGAGTTGCATTTTGAGGATTGCAGTGCTGAGACCATGCATTTTCAGCTTTCTCCTTATTCACTTTCTTTTAGTGTAGTCATATTTTGAATGAATTGCCTAAGCGTCATCTTATCGTGAACATGTATAATGGGTGAAGTAATTCCTTCACTTCTTAATTTGTGTTTATTGCGTACCAGCCCAGAAATGGATCTACTGGCATCGAGTGTGCGTTCTTCAAGCAAGTTGTAACAACACAGCATCACCAAATTTTGCACGTATACGTTGTGTTGCTCGTCGCATGTCACCAGAATACATGCTGCAACCTATTATCATCATCAACCTTGAACGTATAACAGAAGTTGCCATTCTGTGCCTGCATCTTTGAAAATATTCCACCATGCTTGTGTAAAAATTTTCATCTTCTCCCTTATATAGTTCCTGCAATTTCACTCCATAACCAACACATGTTCCACTCCTCCATGCTCCTCACATAACGGAGTGAAGCTTTCGCTACAGTTATGCTTGCCCTGTCACTGTGCACCAGTTGATTCTTCATGTGAGGTGGAAGGCGTCTATACTTTGGAAGGTAATGACTCACGCTTGAATCAAGCACATGTGCGTTGTGGAAATTCATTTTATTTATCTTCTACCAATCTTTGCTCACCATTAAAACAAAAATGAAAACAAGGCAACATGTGAACTGGTTTCTGGTGCATTCAATCTTGATCCCCTTGATTTATGTTCTTCACTTCTTCCTCCTTACTGCAAACATACCTCGCTCCACAACTGTCCATCCTTATCCTTCCAAGAAGATCTTCTACGCCACTGAAAGCCAACCGACTTTCTGTACTCATCGATATAATTTACAAAAGCCTTAGACTTTCACGTCTTTCCACAAAAAGTTTCTTCAGTTACTGATTATGCAGAAATAGAACCTACAATCTCTTCATGATTCAAAGCCTGCCCTGCAAAATTTCACTCCCTCCCATTGCTAGAATTACTTCGTCTATTTCCGTTTTGTTCACCAAAACCCTCATTAAGCAACTCAGCATCCATGTTCATGTTTCAATTCTATAGTCCTGTCAAAAAATAAGATGAACAACTTTATCGACCTATATGAGGACGTACGAGTACAATAACACTTTAACTATTCTTATAAAATATCTGTAAACAGATAACTAAGTTTGTAATGGGTACATTGTATCCGTGTCCACCAAATTATGGCACAACACAACAACGTAAAAGGCATTAACAAATAAACTACATTAAATAACCCTTAGAAATATAAAATGAAGTCCCTTGAACCCTTGCTTTGTCTTAGAGAGGAGAAGTCATATAATGTTAAACCACCTAAATATATTGTGAAATTCAAACTCGTGATTGTTTAATTTATACCAAAAAACTATCTTAACCCTTAAATTATTAAGTGAAATTTGAGAAATGGTTTTATGTTATGTTCTAATAAAATCGACAAAACACACTTCATTAGTAGATAAAAACATTGAACAAGCTACTGATGCTCGTTTTTCGTATGTGCAGGTTCTGATCACATCGTGAATATAATTCTTTAGCTTACCAATTATCTATACATTCTTTGTCATTCCATTACATTAATTCCTCATAAACATTACTGCAAATCTAATCTTTCATTTCTAAAATAACAAACCTGCCATCAAGTTACTTTCAAAATAAGCTGAAAATTGATAACACAGACTGAAAACAAATCTTAAACCACTGCATACACAGATTCAAAAGTTTAAATTTCATTGCTCCGACTATGAGATGTACTAAACTTAATTAACTTCCACTTGCCATCATCCATTTTTAAGGGAAAGCTTATGAGTTTCTTTAATAAACTGTCCAACGTAAAAAACACATTGAAATTATATGTAACAACATTGACTGTGTTGAAAAATACCATAATCCGATAACAAGCACGTTACCCATTTTTCTTATTTTATACACACGCATCATATATAAGCTCATACATGGTTTCCAATTTCCATATCAAAATGGCATGCCCATGATAATAGTTCAGTACCTCTAGATGTAGTTGGATTGTGAGTTGTTCACGATAATAAATCCACCACGGCTATAGATGGAGACAACTGCTTCTTCATCCACATAGACTGCTTGGACATCATCACTGCCATATTTTCCTCACTACAGCTATAACTTACATCATCGAAATCTTGGATTTTGTTATCTGTTCCGAAACAAAAATTTTTGTCCTCATTTGCAACTATGCAAATCAATATACTGTACAGTATGTTGTGACGGAGAAGAGAAGAGAAACCTATGAAAGAGAGCTTGTTGCCTTTCTTTTATTTTCTTGCATTGCATACACAGCCCGTTTTTGTTTTTCCCCTTTTTAATGTCGCCCAATTTTCCCAACTTCCACCAATCCCATCACTCTATTCTTTCCTGCCTTAATTTCCCTCCAATAAACTTGTTCCACACTGCATCTGAGCTCCGAAGTTAAAACTTGTTTGGATGAAAGTAATATTGAGATGAGTGTTTTTTTAGAAAATCTTCAGTGTTACATTTTTTTTAATCACAAGCAAGTATAACTTAGTAATTGGGCATAAAAGTAACTTTATTTAGTGAAGTAGACTTGAGTTCTAATAACTCTTTAATTATTACATAATGAGAAAAGATTATTTTTTACTGTGTAACTCAAAAACCACCAACCTCTCAATAAACCAAAAAAATGACCAATAAATTTGTCTTCAGCAATATTAAATCATAACCCATTTATTTGAATCAAATAAAAACCCCAATATTCCTCACATTTTGCCAATTCAACTAAATTATAAACAAAAATGTGATAAATTTATCTTATAGGTTGAGACTATATAAACATTAAAGGAGACAAATTTGTAATAAATTTGAAAATCTTCCGTTTGCCAAACAAGGGAGCTAAATTTTTGTTTTCGGAAAAAAAAAAAAAAAAAACAAACAAACTGCCCATTGTTTTTTTTTTTTTTTTTTTTTTTTTTTTTGTAACACCTACATTACAAAGTCGCACACCAAGCAACAAAATATGCTTCAAATTACAAAAGCCCATAACTTGGTTGTAACTGTTGAATGGGGAGGCCCGTCATCACTCATCATCTCTTTGTAATTATTCACATTTCTGGGCAATCTCCACCTTCTTTCCCTCTATTTCGGCTATTGATTCCCACACCAATTTGAGAATGGAGACACAAAAACAATTGTGGGATGACTGGTTGCTGACGAGGACAACCATCCAACTTTTACCAGTCTATTAAAGGACACTGATTTTATTTATTTATTTATTTTATTGCTAATTAATTAACTATTGAGGTTTAGGGGTTTAGAGAGAAAAAGAGAGAGACTTGAAAGAGGAAAACCGAAAAAATGGGAGAGACATTTGCTTTCAAGGAATACTTAGCCGGCTTACTTGCTGGTGTTGCCACTGTTATCACTGGTCACCCTTTTGACACCGTCAAGGTGAGTGCTTTACATGTGCCCATCTCTCAATTTTCAGTTTATGGATGCAAAAGCTGTTTCAAATGAAGTTTTATGATGTGGGCAATCTTAAAGTTTATAGCTTTGGATTAATTTAGAGTTTGTAGAGATGCTTAAAAGGGTAGTGAATTTGGGTCTTTTCGTTGATGGTTACTGGTTTGTGTTTATGAGTTTTTGCATAGTTTTGTGGTTTTGACAATGGTTTGTTGCTGATTGTGTGTGTGTTTGTCTTTATTAGGTGAAGCTGCAGAAACATAATACAGAAGCACATGGGATTAAGTACAAGAATGGTTTGCATTGCACGACTAGGATACTACAGACTGAAGGAGTATGCTCTTTTAAAGTTTTCTTGTGAGCCGCAAAATTAAATCAATGATTTCTAAGATGAATTAGATTGAAAAAGTGCGAAATTATATATTCAATTATAATATTGCTGGATTAAGTACGTGTAACAATTTATGCACAGATAGGTTGCAGGCTCCTTACCGATCTGAAGAATTCAACAATTTTGTGGGTAGAATTTTATAGGAATATGCCTATCCTATGTTTGGTGACTTAATGATACTGCTTATTGATTTGGTCCATGGTTATTTGTATGATTAGTAAATTATTTGAAGTTAGAGATGATTCATGTGGAAACCTGTGACTGAGAATATTTTGGGTTTGATGATGTTAGTTAACCTATGAGCTCGTAAATTTCGGTAACATGCTTCTGTGATTTGGTCCCTGACATTTTTTTATTGCTCTTAATCATTCTTTCACTGGGAGTTGATTAAATACCTTATGGTACCTTGTAATAAGCCTCGGTGCACTGCTTCTAGTTCATACACTGTGTTAGTAAAACATTTCATGAGTTATAGCACTTTCCCTCTCTATTTGAGGGGAAGAGGTGGAGGTGTTTAGGATTTGCATGTTCCTGACGTTTTTGTTTCTAAAAGGATTGCCAGATGACAGTTGTCATTGACAGGTTAAAGGACTGTATAGAGGGGCAACATCATCTTTTGTTGGAATGGCTTTTGAGAGTTCCCTTCTTTTTGGCATTTATTCCCAAACAAAGCAGTCATTGCAGGTCTGTGTGACGTTAATTGGAAGAGCCTTTTTTGCGCATATATATCTTTTGAAGTCATGTTAAGAGTTGAGTCTATTATGTAATTGGTTATAACCTCTTTCCCCCTCGTGAAGGGAGAAGTACAAAGTGATGTGCCCCGACCCAAAGTAATAATTCCATCAGCAGCATATGGTGGAGCTATTATCAGTTTTGTATTATGCCCATCAGAGCTAGTAAAAGTAAGTCACCTGTAGCCTTCATATATGGCACTGTTGTCTCCTTGCTTTAGTTTCCTCGTAGCATTTTGTGAAACTGAGTTTCTTCAGTGCAGGATGCAAATTCAAGGCACTGACTCCTTGGTTCCAAAGTTCAGTAGATACAGTAGCCCTCTCGATTGTGCCGTCCAAACTGTGAAAAATGAAGGGGTGAGAAAACCCTATGACTATTGGCAACTTAAATTATGAAGTGTCTTAACTGATGGATAACCTTTCAGGTTACAGGCATTTTTCGTGGAGGTTTTACAACATTGTTGAGAGAATCTATTGGAAATGCAGTCTTCTTTAGTGTTTATGAGTATGTCCGTTATTACATGCATTTACAATTGAAACCCACTTTATCTGACCACAGCAATTTAATTGACATGGGGATTGGAATTGTGACCGGTGGCCTTGGTGGTGTAGCTGTAAGTATCCAGAAAACCTTGCATATCTTGAAAAAAATTTGTTTAATGTGTTCCAGTAAGTCATTTAATTCAGTGTTTTGTTCTGATGTTATCCAGTTTTGGTCTGCTGTTCTGCCATTGGATGTGGCAAAAACCATCATCCAGACAGCTCCTGATAAAAGCTCCACAAGAAATCCATTACTAGTTCTGAACTCTGTAAGATGTCCCGTTCCTCTCTTTTTGTTGATTTTGAAAGCACTCCCTACTTCTGATGCCAGGGGGCTGTCCAGTAAACCTTAAAATATTGTTCTATAAAGAAAAACGAAGAGAACCTAATTAATTCCTTTTTTGATAGATCTACAGAAGGGCTGGAATTAAAGGATGCTATACGGGTTTGGGTCCAACTATAGTGAGAGCATTTCCCGCTAATGCCGCTGCAATAGTCACCTGGGAGCTAGCTATGAAAATGCTAGGGATAAACCGTGACTAAAAGTGGTAGTTCACCAAGGATTTCTAATTTCCCATTACACTACCATCATTCGGTTTGACTCGTGAAGTTTTCTACATTGGACTGGTGGTGATTCATAAAATTTAAGCTCCAGATATTATTTCTTCAAGAAGAGTGCTCTGATATTGTAGCCTGAAAGATAAAATACCGATTTTTTTTGGCTTACCAGATTTTATATAGGAAGGTTGTGGAATTAGTTGTCCACTGTTTGAATATGATTACGCAAGTCATGTTCAAGTATGTAGACCTTTGGTCACAGAAATGATTTTTCAAGTACCTTTGATTAGAGGGACTAGTTTCGTGGAACTGTTATGTTTCTGGACAAGTATTTACCAGCTCATCCAAGTGTATTGATGCAATTGCTTGCTGGTATGTTTTTGTGACTGCAAAAACATGTGTGCTAGATTACTGTTTTCTTGGATGCGTTAATATAAATTGTAGTCAAGAATCAGGAGTCTTGCTGGATCAACAATGAGAGTTTATTGCATTTCTGACTATTTAATCTAGTTTGCTTCATCTGTTATTAAGGTGATTGAAACCACAAGATGGTAACCTATTGATATGCAAATGTCAGCTTGTAGATTAGTTTTATGATTCGATTTTTGTGATTAGTATTCTTGAGAATTCTCAAAGTACTCAAGATTGTGTGTTTTAAAATGCCTTTTAACTACGTCTAAAAAAATATTCATTTGCAGATATGTAAAAGCTGATCTAAGGACACTGCTGAATCTAAAAATAAAAGGTGATTAAAATTGAAATTTCAAAATAAAAAGTGACTGAAATTGAAATTTTGAAACTATAGGCTTGGGTTTCCAATGATATATTTCCACTGCATTATTATTATTATTATTTATTATTATTATTGTTGTTGTTATTGTTTTGATCATTAGCAAGATAAAATGACAAGATTCAACCCATTCATGTGCCACTTTTGTTGGCTATAGAAGCTAGTTCAATTCCGTTTTTGCCCAGATACTCTGTCGCATACATGCCCTAACTATGAAGTGAATTTCAATAATTGTTTCCAATTACTGAATTCCAAGAACACTAAATCAAGATGTTAGCATGCCTTACCATTTATACAAGTACTACTGCCGTAATCCAGGAGAGGAAAGGGAGATTAGGACATCCAATTACTCATTCCAAGTTTCCAACCATGTATTTAATCACATGATCGGTACAAATCCCCACATTTCAGGTAAAGAAACAATTAGTCTACTCACTATTGACAAATCAAACGCTAAGTGTGTATAGATATATAACCTTTTTCGATTTACTAAAATCTAGCCGCTTATGCACATGATGTCCACATGTTGTGAGGTAGTTTTCTATTAGATCCTACGAGTTTAATAGCAGTATCCAATTACTAAATAAACTTCAAGAATCCTGATAAAACACAGCTAAATTATCAACAACTAACAGTGCTAATCTATTATTTTTGCATGATTTGCATATAACTAGTTCTATTTCTAAAATACCCTTATAAACCAAACAAATAGAAGATTTTTTTGTGCAAATCACGTGTTAATTTCGACGATTTAGCACGAAAATCCTGTCAAAAGAATGAATTACAAATTCAAGAATAAAGTTAATGGAAGGCTTTCTAATTGGAAAGAAAAAAAAAAAAAAAAGATGCATGAGAATCAAGATATATCTCTAAAATTCATCCAAATGCGTACAATTGCTCACTACAAAATGGCAGTACCAATAACTTGCTTCATGCAAGCAACCCGTGATGATTCAGTTGGGACAGATGTTTTTGTCATAAACTGGTTGATATATGACAATTGGGTTGCGGAGACAACTGTTTGGCTGTCATGCAAATCAGAAAAAGATAGGCACTGTTGCACCTAAATGGAATAAAAAACTTCTACAGAAGGGGCTGGTTGATCTGAAGGGTAGGCAAACTAGATAACGATCTCCAATCACATCCATTTATTGAATGGCATTAGGTACAGATCATAGATACTTGTATGAAATCTAAAGATTGACAGAAGAGAGAGAGCATGCCAACGATCACATATTTAGATATTTTAACCAATCTAAATAATGTTTTGGGAGAGGCATGCAGTTTATCGGGGAAATAATTATGCAATATTCTCCCCCTTTTGTTGTTAGCCTACCTCCACCACTACTGACTGAATCAATTTGAGCCTTCTCCTTGACAGTCAGCCGAGCCTTTCCTACGCCGTTCATTGTGCCCGGCTAAACGCCTGCGGCAACTCCTTTTGTTGTCATCAAACTCCAATAAATCATGGAACCTGTAGGCAACATTTTAAAGAGACATGTTAAAAAGGTTGAGTTTAATGAAAATAAGTTTAGTTGTTTATTCTAATTATAAAAGGAGAGCTCTTTTAGTTTTTGACAATTCGATATGTATTAATGGTTAGCTGTTAAAGAGTTAAAAAGGAAGAGAAACCAAACTTAATTAACAACAATCATGACAGGAGATTATTCTGACTATCACAACAAAATTATAAAACTAAATTTGATCGCCTCTTGTATAAAATTTAAACAAATTCAATTCCTAACATTTGTTAAGAATTAAACTCATGACCCCTTGGTTAATACCAAGAAGCCGTTACCAATAAGATCAAAGCCAATTGATAAAAGAAGAAACTTAAACTTACGACTTTTTTAGTGTTTATAAGATCACAAGTGCCGTCCAACTATAAGTCATTGACACAATTTTTTTTTTGTTCATTTTTGACTGAAGTCCCCACATGACTAGAGAATAATTAAGAATAGCATTACTAATAAGATGGTGAAAGTTATATCAAGAGAGTGAGTAAGAAGTTGTATGAATACAATTGAGGTGTCTATTTCAACTCAGTTTTCGATGCTGTTAATTTACAACTAATGCTCCATCAACTCTGTAAGTACTGTTTATTCATAAAGTTCCACAGTTCATATAGAGATGTTTCCGCTGGAATTCAGGCAATAATTGAGTCAGATTTTCATATATTTCATGACCAAAAAACAAAGAACTTTCTACCTCAAAAAAAGAGGACAGAATCGACCAGTGAACAAATTCAAATGCAATAAATGAATCCAAATGAGACTTTTATTACGTAAACCCTATTCAGATTAGGGTTATTAATTATATATACTATACTGTGTATGTAGATCGGTTATTTGGAATAACAAGTATATATAAATACTTGTATACAATATTAAAAATGGACAGCATGAATGGGAGTGGGGTTTTGTGGTGTGGCCCTTTATTAACCCCATCTCGAATGATTTAAGGTAGTTTTGTGATCTCCAGCTCACATCCCTGTCTTTCGGACACAGTACTGTGATGCCTGATTTGTGAACAACTTGAAGGGGAGCTAGGTACGTACTTAGGTTTTAATTCAAAGCAACCAATTCCTATTACTTCCAATGTCATATGTCTAGATGAGTTAAGATAGTCATTTTAATAAATAAATAAATAAAAGAGATGAGTTAAAGAACCATAGGCCAAAATTACAATATAAATAATAGTATTTTTTCAAATTTTTTTTTTTTTTTTTTTTTGTAATGAGAAACAGTGCCTCGTTGAGTATTAATTTCAACAGTAAATTAAATAAGATACTTTGTTTGAAAGAAAAAATACATTTATGTTTACAATTTTAATGTGCAATTATATATATTTATCCAATAATTACAAGTGTTGTCATGGATCCATCAAAAGAGAAAAAAAAAGGTTTAGTTTTGTTTCCATATGTAGTTTAATTTATATGGATTAAGATTTTCCCATGATTGGAAGGAACTAATTGAACAAAATCTTGATGGTATACAATTAATTGTTTTAATTAATGACAAGTTAAATTTGTCAATTATGAAGTAGTAAAAACCTACTATAAAAAATGGCAAAAGTACCGCTCTTTTGTTCCTTCATTTTCCCAAGGACAACAAATAGGAGGTAAAACATATATATATATATATATATAGTTAAATCTTTCTTCCTTTTCTTTTTTTCCCTTCATAGACAGGGAGAGGAGAGCCTTAACTTCCAACCTCGATCCCTTTTAGTCTTTAGGGGCAATATGGCTAATAACTAGCTAGGCAAAATGGGGTCCGACAACAAATACAATTAAAAAGACAGAGGAATTGTAAATAATATTTCTTTTATGGGGGAGACATTAATCTTCAGTACTTAGGTTCAATTTGGTATTTGATCCTTTATCTTTAAGCTTAAACTCATTGAAAAACATATGCATTTTTCTTTTTTCTTCATATTATATAGGACTAGTCTACGTACAGAAGGGGGAATTTCTTCTTCTTGTTGTTTTCTTCTTTTAATCTCTCTCTCTCTCTCTCTCTCTCTTTTTGGGAACTAAGGAAAAATTCTTCCCAAAAAAATAATTTGAGGAGGAGATTACTTCCCGTTGATAGTCAATTTGGATATATTGAATAATTTCTTTTATGAATATATTTAGTAATTAGAATATATGTTCAATGAAAAATATTTAAACTCAATATCATAAATCATAAGGTTCTAACTGTATGAGTTGGGGGATTAGATAACAGATCTCTATCCCACATAATTCATTATGAATGACCTTTCTGAATAATAACCAATGTATTTTCCAAGTAAAAGATCTAGATTTGGGCTTGTACGAGCTAATGGAATTCTAGCTTTCCCATAAAAGTTTTAAATGCAAGTTCTAATATTCAACCTCTACATCATCAAGACTAGCCGTCAGGTAATTGAGCCACGATATAGAATGGAAAATATTGTTAATTTCACTATCAAAGAAAGGAAATGCTAATTTCAAAAACTACTAGCCAAGACATTAGTTCTTTTTCCTTTTCAATTGATATACATTATTATATAGATCGATAGGGCTATTTGAGACTAAAACTTTGTTTGTTTTTTAACTTTCTTCAAAAGGAAAAAAATAAATTGTGTAGTTGACTTGAAGTGTTGGAATTAGAAATGACTTGGAAAATTAGGGTTTCACCTGCTACATTGCTGGCAAAAGCGTTGCTGAACTCCATTGACCAGAACAGAAGGAGCTTTGGCATGGAACTCACACACCTTATGGCGCCTATGGTACTTCTTGGCATCAGTCATATCAACGGTGCAATTATCTGCTTGACAAGAAACTTGCGGACTTAACGACGACCCCCTCCACCACTACCCGATCCTTTCCTTCCTTTCTTCTTGATCTTGTCTTCATCTACAAACCCTAACCCACCAGAAATATCTTCATCGTCGTCCTCTTCCTCTTCCTCTCCTATTTCCTTCAAGCTCCTCTTTCCTTCAGATTTGCTTGTTCCCATACTGAGAAACAAAGAGAAGATCTAACAAGAAGAATACAAAATACGAACGAAGCAAAAAGACCTTGATAAATAAGTGAAAAAGGGAGAAGAATTATGTGTGAGGACCACATTCTTCATTTCTTTCTTTATTCCTTATCAGCATAAGGGTAATAGTGAAGGCTAATTAAGATTTAAGCAATAGCTCAGAGACTAATCATGGTAGGTGGTACATCAAGAACAGTTTTCTCTGTATCTGTACGTACTTTTAAGTTATTTATACTCTCCCATGTACCTACGAATTTCTTTTTAAAAAAAAAACAAAAAAAGAAATTCGAACTCAACTTCTTCTTTTTTTCATATTAGAAAAGGTATTAAAATGAAAAAAAAGGGGTTAATAAGGTTTTATTACTTGTACATATAAAGAAATTTATATGTACCACAAGAAATTAATTATTGTCCTTCGTCCAAGTTGAACGGCCAGCGTGATGATAGTTATAAAACCTGTGGTGGATGTCACACCATCATTTTTTTTATGGGTTCTGAAATATGCAATCATGCTGCAATAAATAAATCATGTTTCAAACAATGGTTTGGGTAGAAGTAGATCGATCAATTAACGAACTTGTCATCTAAAAAATGAAAAATAATATTTTATCCATGCCTGTTATTATTTTTACATTTTAATGGGAAATTATTCCAATTATCATTGCTTTAGATTACGTCTTCAATCTATCATTTTTGTATTATAATTGAGAAAATTAGTTTGATATGTTCTTATATTTTGATCAAGCCTCGAATCTATTCCTCCAAATCTAATTAATTGCTTCTAATTTATCTTTGAATACAAAATCATTCTCCAAATCTATTTTCTATCAAATTTTTTCTATCTATAAATTAATTTAAATATCCGTACCTAAAAAATTTAAGATGTTAAGTGATGTATTCAAAAAATTATTTTCCACTTTGAAAATTCAAAACATGTTGAAACAAAAATAATTTTCTAACAAATTTATAAGTTTTTACTTAAATATAGTTATTTAAGTTAATGATCATTTTTCTTATAATATCACACAGATTAATTTTAGTATATTTTCATGTGATTTACAATATATAACAGTAAGTGATGTTGTTTATACTATTTTAATCATTTTTTTTCATAATCAATAACATTGAAAAAAAAACAGATGTAGTCATACAGTGAAGAGATTTGTATGATTTGTGGATCTTCTAAAAATTATAAAGAAAAGTAAACTGAATTATCTTATTAATAGAACTACATATAGGATGAGTTTATAAATTTATATAAATATTAAATGACGTTTTTGTTACGTAAAAAAAAGGATAGAAATGCTCGTTTATATATATATATATATAAAGTTAATGGAAGAAATTTGGAAAACATAAAAAAAGATGTTTTTCAAAACTAGTTATAAATTGGAGAATTGAAAAGTGTGTTTTCTAATTCTCTAAATGGAAAAGAAAAAAATATATTTAAATATAAAATCCTATTTTTCATTGTGCGTGGAGATATTTTTTCTAGAAATCAGAGTTATTTTCGACATTAGAACACAATTTTAGTGTTTTCGTCATTAAACTACAAAATATTTGATATAATTTATTTAAATAAAAAAAGAACAAACACAAGTTTAGCTTTTCTAAATCTAGAGAAAGAGAGGAGGAGAGAAAACAAACGAAAAAAAAAAAAGTGACTGCCAACAGTCATTAAATTTTGAGGAGGGGGATTAATCTTAGAGAGAGGTGTCAAATGATCATTTCATTTAAAAACTTAAGTTATTAGGTAATGCTTTTTCAAGGAAAGAAAACAAACTAAAAAAAAGTGACTACCAATAGTGATTAAATTTTGAGGGGGATTAATTTTAGAGAGAGGTGTCATATAACCATCTCACGCAAAAGCTTAAGTCGTTAGGTGAAGCTTCGAATATGATTTATATTATTATCTAATATACTCCTTCAAGTGCAAGCTCTTTAGGTTTAAAACTTGCACATGCTCACATTAACTTGTGCTTAACTAATTAGAAGAGAAAAGAAATAGTAGAATTCAAATTAACTTGTGTTTAATTAATTAGAAGAAAAAAGGGATAGTAGAATTCAAATTCTTGACCGTTAAGTTAGTAAGGATCTAATACTTTGTTAAATGACAATCTCATTCAAAAATTTAAGCTATTAAGTGAGGTTCAATGATATGATTTATATTATTCTCTAACAAGAGATGCGCTAAAGAATTTTCAAGGGTTTGAAAACAATGAAGGAGAGTCTAGTATTTCAATTTAACATGTCAATATAATTTGAATGAATTTTACTTCAACTGATATTGGTGTTTCTTATTTTTTTAAGAAATCTGAGTTTAAACCTTCTCTTTATAACAAAATATACCCTTCATATATACGAATATGAAGGATATACCTCTCACTATAAGAAGAAAAGGATTTTGTAATTTGGTATAGCAACTAATTTATAATTTATTTTTTTTGTCTAATTCTCTTGATTTGTTAAAATAAATTTTGTCACGTGTTGCATGAGAAGCTTGTCTATAGTAGCTAGAATAAAATTCTAATGTGAGAAAATTTAGGGATTGATTAAGGAAATACATATGCCATCTGTTCTATTTAAATTGTCTGTCCCTCGGATTTCCACTTATTTTTTTTTAAAAAAAAAACAACCTTACAAAAAAATATCATTTATTGTTTGGTCTGTTGTGAACATTTTTAAAACTATTCTCGTATTGAAAAATGTTGAAGTCCATGTATTTTTAAGTAAAATTGTAATTGATAATGGAGAATAAGATTGAAAAATCATATCTCTTCGCATACTTTTAGAGAGCAATATAAAATCATTCTTACAACCTTAGTTAAAGAATAATATAAAATCATTATTAAAACCTTACCTAACAACTTAATTTTTTGAGTTGAGATGATTTTTTGACATGATATCAAAGTGTTGATGACTAAACAGTTGCGAGATTTCTCTTCTAATTAATTAGGTACAAAATAGTATGAATTTGTACAAGTTTCTAAGTCCAAAGATTTTTACTTAAAAAAATTATATTAGAAAATAATATAAAATCATTCTTGAAGTCTCATATAATATTCTTTAACCCTTACTTAAGAGAGGATTATATATGCACGAGCATGATATAAAATCAAATATTATACTTAAAACATTAGAAAATGATCAACAAGTTATTAGCTCAAGTGGTAAGCAAACTTATTATTGTGTAAATTTTTTATCAATATACAAGATTCGAATTTTGAAGTTATATTTGTTAAAAGAGCTTAAATCTCATTGCTTTCAATTTGAATATAATTAATCTTATTTCTAATGTGGGATGAAAATATCTAAATAAAAAATTAAAAAATATAAAATCAAATATTATCAATTTGTTAGAATTAAAACATTAGAAAACATATAAATTTGATGATTGGATTCTCATTTTCTAAAGTTTTTTAAGAAACACGATCGATCGATTCTTATCGCTTTCAAATCGAAATCTTATCGCTTTCGAATCGAAATCTTAAACTTTCGATTTGAATATAATTAATTTTATCTCCAATGTGGAATGAAAATATCTAAATAAAAAAAATAATAAAATAAAATATTATCAATTTGTTAGAATTAAAACATTGGAAAACATATAAAGTTTGACGATTGGATTCTCATTTTTTAAAGTTTATTAAGAAACACGATTGATCCATTCTTAATATTCAAGTATTAATTTTGGATGTAATGATTTACAGAAAAGAAAAGATCAAATAATCAAGTATCAAATTTAATAGTTTAGTTACTAGGAAGACGACCAAGCGAGAAAGAGAGAGAGATCTTTCTGTGAACACGTGAATTTAGCTTTGTAAGGGTATTATTCAAAGGTGAAAAAAACATAGATGGTCTATCAATTTCTCAAAAGTCGCCTATCAAGATTAGATGCTTATGGTACGGCTTACCTACTACATATGTCCTTAGCATCCGATTCTTCTCTTCTTTTCCCCTTCCCTCTTGTTTTTTCACCTCACATTTTGCTGTGGCCAACAGTATTTCAGCAAAGTGGGCACCTATGCTCTTCTACTTGGCTATAATTTCCAGCTATCATTAAAAAAAAAAAAAACAAAACAAAAAGAGGACGACGATGTGCATTATCGTGTAAATTGGTCCCCCTCTGTACTAGGGCAGCAGTTTTGTACAGTATATATATTGAGCATCAAACATCGATGCTGAATTGATCACAGCTCCAAAGTTCGCAGGTGGTTTCGAGCACTAAATGATAAGACAGCAAATAGTTCAATGCGATGGGAATCGTGGATTGATTAATATTTACAAATTGGAAACCAACTTGCAGCTGGTTGGCTTTTGGACGGGGGTTAAGACATAAAGTACTAGCTAGAGGAAGAAATATTAAGAGTGTAATGAGAATTCAATAAATATTGAATTATAATTTAAAATAAATAAAGACTAATTCACTATCGGTCAAACACTAACTATTATTTTAATTTTAATTTTTTTAATTTAAATATCATAATTTATTTTTGATTTTTAATTAAAATGATCGATCTTGTTAATCGAATTTTGAACACATATAATAAACACAGTAAGAGTAAAATAACAAATAATCCTCACCCTTATTTTTTTCTTTTTTTCTCATCCTTTCTTTTCTCATTTTTTTCTCTCTCATCCTTTAGTCTTTCTCTTCTCTCATCCTTCATTTATTCCCTTCAAAACCCATCAAATTTCTACCAAAGTTAACACAATAAACAAATAAACGAACAAAAACACTTCTTTCTCTCTTTTTTAGTTAGCACACCCAAAAAAACCCTCATTCTTTTATTCCCCTCTTTCATATTTAGTTCGTTTTTTGTATGTTGTATTGTATTAGAGCCATAAAAAACTTGTTTTTTTTTTATAAGGTTGGTGGCTGTCTTTGTAATCACCCATCATGTGTTTGATGAAATATTTTATTATCTTTTTAATCTTCCACTAGTACCAGAATAGGATCAAACGAATTATAAATTACATATGCTAACAAATATTATGGATGTAAATGCAACTTACTTTTGAAGATTTTAGAGTTCAAGAAAAAAACCAAATAAGTTATATTTTTATTGTAGAAGATGTCAGTTTATGGACTTTTGTGAACCGATAAACTTATTGTTCAAGGTTCAAAAGATAAGTAAGGAGATGCAGGACATGAAGCAAGAAGTTTAAGGGATGAATGAGCTGATTAATATATTGAAGTCAGTGTTGGAGGCTTATAGAGATAGGGGTATACAAGTGTGAGTGTTTGTTAGTTTGTTTTATAATATGCTTTTGTATGTTTTAAGGAAATAAATGGATGTTGCTGCTATAATTTTGATTAAGGAATGAAATTAATTGACAGTGTTTTTGTGTTCCATGTTTAACAAATATTATTTCATCTACTTATGTATGATTTATGTATTGTCGTAATCAAAAATTTAGGTTATATTTATTTTTGATTATTTTTCTAGTATTTTTTTTTACCGATTCTATTCCTTTTATTTCAATGTATTTTATTTTATTTTTCATATTTATTTTGGTCAATTTTACAAGTCTTATATTTAATTTTAGGATTTATTTTTATTATTTTATTATTGTAAGAAAAGAAAAGAAGAAGAAGAAGAAGAAAGAAAGAAAGAAGGAAATGAAAATACAAAAAAAAAAAAGTACAAAAAAATTGCATGTTATAATCAATTAGGGTTATAATTAAAAAGAATAAGGACTAGAATTGAAAAAAAATCAGATTTAAAATTGAAAGTCAATTAAGGATGAAATTGAATGAAACAGAGGTGCAATTGAATGAAATTGAGACTGAAATTGAAGCCAATTAGGATGCAATTGAAATGAAAATTAAGGGTGTAACTGCGAAACATTGAAATAGACAGGGACTAAGATGAAATTAAGGCTTGAACGACAGGACCAAAACCAAATCGAATGACTTGTCGTTTGCTGCAACCTAAAACCAATTCCGAGGTACCGTTTGTCATTGTCATTGGAGAAAAAATTTGTAAGTTTTGTCTCTTTGATTATTGGCTGGCAATTTTACCAGACAAGAATGCTGTACCACCTACAAATGAGCACTGCATTTCACAAACCAAGTGTTGCATGCACATTTCTTTTTTGCTTTGATTTTGTTTTGTTCACAAACGATAAAAAACCAATGTCAATTTTGATTTTTAGCGAGTGTTTAGAACATTTGAGAATAATCCTAAGGGAGGAATCTAGTGGATTTTGACTATAAATTGAGACTCCTTCTAGGAAGAGGGGCAGAGATTGGGATTCGGAGGAGAGACTTTTGGGTTTTGAAGGTTTTTTGGATTTTTCAATTTTCAGGGTTTGGCAACAAGAATCTTTGAGTTTCTAGGTAAAGGGAATTAAACTTTTTGGGTTTATAGAACCTACTCAGTGCACAATCGTTCAATCTAAGTCTCGGTTACGTGGGTGAGCCATTCTTGGGTCCTAAACAAACAATAAGGTTCGGCCATTTTCACTGTTTCTGGAGTCCTGCAAACAGAAGAAACACATAATCGCAACCATCCAAACTCTCTTTTTAATCCTTATAATCATTCCGAATCATCATGTATTCTACTTATCCATTTTATTTTCGTTTACGTTAGTTTATTCTAGTTTTGGTACTTGAAGTTTCAAAGCAAGAACAAGAGGGAAATGACAGTGATTATGTCACTGCCATGATGAGTTTCACATGTTTTGGGTACTGTCAATAGAGTGAGGAGAGGGAAGAATTTGGTTTAGAATGATAGGAATGGTAGTTGTTGTTAAGCAAGTTTTTGGGAAAGGAAGGAGAATGATCGGAGAAAGAAAGACAGGAAAGAAAAGAGAAAGAAAGGAAAGAAAAGGAGAAAAATAAACGGGCTACGAGAAGAGAGAGAAAAAAGAGAGCTGGGCAAATGGAAAGGATTGGGCTGGGTTTAGCCCAGCCCGAGAAGGAAGGAGAGGTTGGGCTTAGCCCAGCCTGAGAGGGAGAGAAAAAGAGGTCAGCCCAGTGGTCTTGGCCCAAAGGCCCAATAACCTCCATTTTTTCCCAATTTTTTATTCTTAACCATTCCCCTTGGTCAGTTAAATCTGAAATTTGTATGCATGCTTCCTGTTTTCATTTCTAGTCTAGAATTAAATTTTTAGAATTTTTAAAGTTTGTTTTGCCTATTTATGTTGATTTATTTTCATGCCTAATCATTAATTTCTTTTGGAGTTTAAATTTTAGTTTAGCCTAGTATTTAATGTTAATTAAATCTGAAATTATAGAGGTAATTTTGAAGTCATATGTATGCTTTGGGTTTTAATCTTTTAAACTTTTGGAAATTTAATTTTAGATTTACTTAGGCTGTGTTTGTTTGAAAAAAAACAAGTCCCGTGAATTTGTTTTTCCTATTTTTCAGTATTTATTTCACGTCTAGGAAAAAAATCAACAAAAAATGATTTTCAGTCAATGAAAAATGATAGAGTATTTTTGAAAAAATGTTTTCCCAGTTAAAAAAGAGGAAAACATTTTTCGTCTCACGAGTCGTCTCGTTCTTGCATTACTTACCTCTCTCTTAATATATTTTAACAATTTTTTCTCTATCTTTTTTTTATATAAAATATATCAAATTAATTTTTAATTACTTCTTATTAATTATTATTAATTATTTAATTATTTTTTCTCTATTTCTACTAATCTTTGATTTTTTTATTTATCGATACATTAAATATTCTTAAAAAATATTTTTACACCTTAAAATTATTTTTATAATAAATATTTTAATAATTCATCTCTATTTTTTTATTATTTTCTCAAACACCATCTAAACTATACTTAAATAATTGAAAATAATTATTATAAGACTCGCAATTTTTTGTAAAAAAAATTGAAATTAATTTATTTATTAATAAATACATTATTTTTTCAACACTATTCATTTGTAACTAAATCAATAATTTGTAATTTTAATCAATTGTAAAATTTTATTGGTAATTTTAGTGAATAATTAATTATAAATTATTCAAACGTTAATCTTTTGAAACCGAGATGAATAATTATATACAAATGATAACTAATAATTTATAAAACTATTTTTTAGACTAAATTATCGGTTCGGTTTCCAAAAAAAAAAATCTTAATTAAGTTACTAAAATAACAATGCTAGGATTACTTGGAATTTTTTTTTTTAACTAAATGTGAATATTGACTTGATTTTGTCTCAAGTAATTTTGATGAATTGATTTGATAGTTAAAAAGTATATTTTATTTTTTGAATCAAAATTTTAGAGTCGGTACTTATGAAAATTTATTAAATTCTTCTAAGTATATCTTCTATTGTGAAATTGTGAACATATCTTTTTGAAGTTTTTTCAAAACTTGTTAATGTAACAATCATATATTGCTTTTATGTTTTAATTTTCCGTATCAAACAAACGCTAGAATATATTTTTCAGCAACTTTTTCATGTAATTGCCCAACAAGTAGAAAATATTTTCTTGAAAAATAACTTATTCGAGAATTGATTTTCTTATGGAAGTTGTTTTTCACCAAACAAAGGGAGCCTTAATATTGAATATTGCTTTAATAACCAATAGTGAAATTAGGACATTGATATGTGGACAAATCATTGAGTTTTCTAATTTTAAGAGATTGGTGTCGATTCTCTACCAATTTTGAAAAATATATAAAAAATGAAAATGAAAAGAAAAATAATAGAAAAAAACACATGAAAAGAAAGAAAACAAAATATATATATACATGAAAAATTATTAGAATAATTTTAATAAGTCTCATATCCGATAAGGAATTGTGTTATCATGAATTTCAAACCCGTCACCTTGGTACTTAGGATGTTCTCCTATATACCAATTATGTCGAAACTTAGATGGATTTGATGTTGAATTGACGAGACTTTTGCCGACGCAGTCCGACGATAAATTCAATATGATGTCATAAACAACTATAAAAAAATCAATTGGCATAGGAAATAAAACTTAGAATTTTGACTTCGAAATAATTTGGAAAAAAATAGGAACTTTAGGATATAAAGTTTTAGGGATGTACCTTTTCTCGAAAAAAGATATATTTGGGTAGTTGATATTTTCTCAAAGGCATAACCAATTCATTACCCTAAAATGTCTAAACCAAGTGTTTTTTTTAGGTTTTCTAATTTCTTTTGATACCAAGTGGTGACTTCAACACGTGGTTTAACCCACATTCTTAGTAAACAAATAAAATAAAAACCAAAACAATACCATTTTTAATAGCTTTTTTAGAAGTTCCTTAAATGTCGGGTAGCAACAATATGAAAACTTCACTTGTGGATTTAGACTTAGGTCATAGGTTTAGTCTTGTTTAGTTTATTTCCTTTATTTATTTATTTCATTTATTTTCCAAGTCATTTATTTTTTTCATTTAATCAATTCTAAGTTATTTATTTTATGAATTTATTTTTGGTGTTTTAATTCCTGCATATATTTCAAGTACTCTAATTCATGTTATTTATTTTCTTTATACTTAAATTTTTATACATATTTTATGAAATGGATTGTATATATTTGTCAGACTATGAAACCTTTAGCGATTGATCAACTAATCCCGTTTATAGCTATGTTGTGGATTGGGTGGCCGTTCAATTGTGTGGTATGCCACGTGTTGCAAAGTTGATTATACAAGTATATCAACTATTTTTTTTACTTCAAACATAAAGGTCATTATCTTATTATTATTTTGAATGCAGGCCATTTTGAGGGTGCTTCGTTAAGAATGCTAAATTTTATTTAATTTCATTTCAAATGTTTATATATATAACCTGAAGTCTTCACAGTACAATTGGCGATATCATCAATTTATATGGCAAATAGGAACTTTTTTAACATTCATTTCAATGTATGTGGATGATGTGAAAATACGTTTTTTAAATTATTCGAAAAAATAATTTATATATAAAATGATTCCAAAATATTTAAAAAAATTAATTTTTATGGAAAATGGTAAGAATGACTTCATTTAAACATTGAATATTGATGCATCGTAAATGTAATAGCCAACTCTTCCCAGCTAAGTTCTTCGAACAATATTTTGGTTAATTTTCTTTGAGTTACAACTAAGGAGATAAATAGAACCAAGGTTAATTTTGTTTGAGTAACAACTTAGGAAACTTGAAAGGTTGCAGACATAAAATCGAGGAGTAAATGTATAATTTAGCCTCCAACTTGTTACATTCACTCAATTCCCTCCAAGTAAAACCATTATGGACACTGATGAGGACAATCAATTCATGTTTTGGGCTCTCTTGATGAAGCCCAAACGGTAAATGCACTAGCAAGAAATCAACTACCTGCATAACTTGCCAATAGTATTATCTATCTGTTATTTCGACATCGTCAACAGGAGCAGGGTTGCTTCAGGGAGGAGAGGGAGGTAAAAGAGTTTCATGTTAGTCATTGTAGTTGTAAAAGTGTTTTTCATTTGTGCACTCAATAAATTATAATTTGCCCTTTCTTTCAAAATATCTGTGAAACAAGAAAATTAATAAACTCTTACGTTTAGACAATAGCATGAACTAAATTAAAAAATAAAAATAAATTATAAATAAAACCAAAATAAAACCATTGGTTTTACTATTCATGCACTATTTAAAACACTATTAATCCATAATTATTTCACGATTTACATATATTTAAAAGCATTATTCCTTTCAATACTTAATGGTATTTTTATACTTTCTTAACTTTTTAATACATTTATAATGAAAGTTTTCCTAATATTGCATTTTGATCCTTCTTTTTTAAATATAATTTTTTCAATCCACAAAATATTTTTTATTTGGTTTCGGTCTCTCTTTCTTGTATGATTTCTGTCATTTTGTTCCTTTTTTCTCTGATTTTTTTAATCAAAAAATTTAAGGCAAAAAATGTTTAAAAGACATTATAAAATAAAAATTTAACTAAGAATTCATTGATTTATATTATTAAATATTTTTTTTATTAAAATTATAAAGAATATTCAATCAAATATAAAATTTGATGTATTTTGATAAACATATAATATAACATGTGATATCAAAATAAAATAATTTTTTAAAATAATTTTATATATTTTATCCGATTTGCAATGTAATTTATGTAAAAAATTTAGTTATCAATTAAGAATAGGAGTTGAAGGTAATCAATTTGTTCTTACGCTCCCCATATCTGTTCTTTTTTAGGGGTGGCGGGTGGCATGCATATATTCCCATCGAAGCAGGTATTTTTACCATCTTTATAAGTTAGCTTTAATTTTGGCCTAGAATTGTTAAAATACTCCAAAAATAAGGTGCAAGGTAAATCTCCAAAAAGGAAAATGAAAGTCAAATAAACAAAAAATACCAGGCATCTGCTAAAAAAGAAAAAAAAAAAAAAAACCTACAGAATTTTGTTCATTGCACGGAGTTTACTTATATGGACTGGGCTGAGAGTTTAGGAGACCCATTAACGTTGATGCCTAAAAAGGCCGAAGCTTAGTTTTATAGGTTTGATAGCTGAAAAGGCACATCCCAGATGCGAAGCACATATGCAGTCAATGGCCCAGTAACATATGGGCTGAGCCTGTAGTGAGAGTTATTCAATCTCTCTAAAAGGCAAACTGCTTCAAGTTTGATGAACACTGACCAATCTGATTTACTGGTGGATGAGCTGAATTTTGTGGAAAAGAGGATCTGCTTACATTAAGAGGTTGGTACTTTACTAAAATAAAAAATAAAAAATTAAGCTGATTAAAGAAGGGAAAAAGGCAAAGAATTGAATAGGAATGGGCCGACATTTTATTTTTCCCATTAATTTAAAGAGCACCTAAGTAGCTGGACTGATAAAATAATCTAATATACTAGAAATGATAATTTCGTTCATCATTCTCCTTAATCTCTTTATATAATGGACAACAAGAACAAAGCTTACATCAATTGTAGAGAATTTGGATAACGTAAGCAGATCGACATAAAGATCGACATAATAATGAAGCCATGATATTTTAATATCTCTGCTTACAATAAATTAAGTTTATATATTACCTGTTGACAGCTTAGGAGATAAGACTCCTCTTAACACCTATGACGTTTTTTGTTCTCTCTTTTTGCCACAAGCAGTCCTGACCAGTTTTATTTCAGCTACTTGTATATATATATATATTTTAGAAAGAAGCTAACAAAACAACAAATGCCCAGAAGGCATTCAATAAGAACTTAATTAATATGGTAGTTATTAAATAGTTAATAATAGTTCATGTTGTCATAATTAAATATTTTTAAATTTTTATTTACTTATGAATTATCGGTCATTGAATCTTTGAACCAACAACTATACATAAGCAAGATGTTTTCTCAAGGTTTGATTAGAAATTTCCAATTGATACAATATTTGACTAATATTGACTATCGTTAACTAATCTCTCAATCGGTGCTCTACAACTTTTTTAGGAAAACCTTTTTTTTCTTTTTTCCAACATTAAGAGATATTTCTAACATATCAGTAGCAGGACGGTGACGATGCATGAGTGCACGCGCTAGCTAGCAAGTATTTTTAGATTTTTTGGAGTATTTTTCGGGTAATTTTCAATTTTTCTCTAAACTTTTTACTTAGTTTGAGTATTTTTAAAGATCATTAGCACTCTTTTGTCAATTTTGAGTATTTTTACAGTTTTTTTTTTACATATTTCCATGAACATTGAAGTGTTAGGTTTGCATCATTGTGCAATGCTTCGAAGATATAAAGTCCTCAAAGAGCTTTTTATGATGATACAAGGTTGTTATTCAATATTCTATAAAGAAATTGGAAGGATGAGTTAGGATTTGTTTGATCGGCTTATCCGGCACCTAATGGTTCGATCTACGTGTGTATTTGATTGATATTGTATGTTTGTGTTTTGATAAATGTGTTGTTTGATGGATTTATATGTTTTCGAAAATGAATTTATGTTTACGTGTTTTTATGAGATACCATCAAAGCATTGCTTTTTTGTATGCCAAATGATTTTAGAAGTATAAATTTATTTGCCTTAATTTGAGAATTTTTTGTTTCACAGTTGATTTTGACATCGAGGCACCTTTTTTTTTTTTTTTTTTTTAAAATCTAAAATTGTCTTCATTCACAATTTATGATTTTTGTTTCTAATCAAATTGTTTACGAGTAGTTTGTTTTTTCGATCTTATTTTCTAAAATCAAATCATCTCAAAGCAGTTTGTTTTTTATTTATTTTTTCCTATCATATCATTCACGAGCTGGTCGTTTCTTCGATCTTATTTTGTAAAATCGAATAACTTAAAATTCATTTGTTTATTCATTTTTTTTTATTTTTAAATCAGATCATTCATGAGCGATTCGCTTCTTTGATTTTGTTTTCTAAAATCAAATCCCCTAAAAATAGTTTGCTCATTAGATTTGTTTTTGTTTTTTATTAGATCACCTCTGAATGGTTCGTTTTTTCGATCTTACTCTTCAAAATCAAGCAACCTAAAAATGGTTTGTTTCTTTGATTTTTTTTTTTAATTGAAACTCTGATTTTGTTTTATAAAATCGAATCACCCAACCATGCTTTGTACATACAAATATTTGTTCCGACTTTCAATGGACATAAACAATATTTTAACTTGATAAATTCAGATTTATAGTTTTCACTAATTTTATTTCTCTTGCCATAACATTATAGTTATTTGGGTACGTGTTAATAGTCCTTGTTGGATTTCTTAATATTCTTAATTTCTCATATCGTTAATACAAATAAATTGTTTTGGTATAAACGTATCATTAGTTTCGTGAAGTAGGAGAATCTCAACATCACGGGACTCTAATTAATCAGATTTCTTTCACATAGAATTGAATCTACCCATATTTTGGACACTCTATTTAGAATCCCTCCACCTTTTTCTCCTGAATATAGAGAGATTATTTGTTTTTAGGACACCATATTAAAATACACTATAAGTGTCCCCCACAACATTCTCTAGGACCCACTGGACCTGAAACTTCCATAAGCAACTGTCCACAAGCTAGCTTCCAACCATGTGTTAAAAGACATTAGAATTTTAGAGGTGAAGATTCTCTAAAAACCTTATATGACCAGAACCTCACTGGAATTTTCCATCCTCATTCATTCATTCATTCCTGCTTCTTGGCTTCCCAATCCCTAGGTTTGACTCTCCACAGTAAATTTGATCTCCACTTTAAATATTGTGGCCCACGTTACCATGCAATATCATAATTATTTAAGTGCCCGTTATAACCATATGATTTTACTTATCTACCTAGCTATGTCATTAATCCCAAGTAAACCAACAAATTGATTCTCAAAATAAATAAAATAAATAAATAAAGAGAAAGAAAGAAAGGAAAGGAAGGTTTACCAACAAATCAAATCAAATTATTAATGGTATCAACTTTCAACATCAATGAATTAATGTTTTAGAAAAAGAGTCTGGTAATTGTAAAAAAAAAAAAACGGTCGTTCTTATTTTAAGTGAATTCATAACCATAAATTCACCTCTTGGTTCTTCATTTGACCAGTGAAATCGTGGGACGAAATATTAGTCAGGAGAAATCAATTTCTACAGATAATTATATTTGTTAAAGAAGCAATTATTCGTTTACAGAATTATACATATTTTTATTAATTTATTCCCCTGAGTGTAATATATCAAGTTTATATTTAAGGAAATGCTACAAGAAAGAGTTTTCGTTCACAAACCAGTTTAGGTATTGTGGTATTGATACAATACCTAACATCTAATTAGAAAAAAAATTAATTTCAAAACTCAAAAAAACGAAAAAAAAAAAAAAGAAGAGGAGAAATACTTAACTTGTAAAATCAAAAATAAAATAAAATAAAATATTGGCATTGTTATTATAATTAATATGGGATGGGTAGGGCTTCCTCGGATGTCGATATTCAAGATCCCTTAACTTTTCCTCAAGTCCAAGATCTCTTTCCTACAAATGAGGTTTACAATTGCAAAATATCATGGTGTCAATTGAGTGAATTTAAGTGTGATTGCGATTTCATCTTTCGAGAACCAGAAACCATATCATGTGCTATAGCTTGTTCCACTTGACCTAACATCAATGTGTTAAACAGTTATCACCCTCCATGACATTACAAATAAGTACGGATGGTACACGATGACCACTTGACCAGTGACCCAAATGGAATATCTATTGTCCTTCAATGCAGCCATTCACTTCCTTCTCTCTTGGACGTCCTAGTCTACGCCATGGATGACTCGTCCTCCATAAACAAATTAGGATTATTGAAAGAAGCAAAACTGATTCAGGCACCCCAGTTTTTGTAACCAGAGCACTATAGTGATACCGCTAGAATGTCCTTCAGTTAGTGCTTCATTTACCCCTTGTCTATGAGGGATAGATGGATGGCATTTTTGTACTTTCAGCACAGGAAGATGAGGGTGATCCTCCCATCTGTTCATGTGGGTGCCCAGATAATTAGAAGAGAGTGAAAATAAAACGAAAATGGAGAGTGAGATCTTTGTCTGCACATTGTTTGGGGTGCACTATGGTCAGCCTTTGATGGATACAGTTAGGTTGGATTTGATGCTTTTGTCTCTTTAACCCTATTGACACAGACTTTTGCTTTAACGTGCGCGTTGGGTTTCTTTCATGTTTGCCAAATTGGCATTTCTTGTCCGGTGGTAGTGGGGTAGTGAGTGACTGAGTCTGGATGTGTAGGTCCTACCTCTCTACCTCTAAAATTGACTACCACTACCAGTCTCACATGCCCAATCACCATGATCTTCCACGTTACGCACTTTATCTTCTTCTTCTCCTCCTCCTCCTCCTCTCTCTCTCTCTCCCTCCGAAGCCACATATCAACATATACTTATATGTTACTCCCTTTTTCAATCGTATCTTTTTATAAAAAATAAAAAAATCGATCACTCCTTATTCTAAGTTTATGTATATGTCAATTAGTCAATTTTTTATGTCAGAATTTATTTATTTTTAGATAATTTAAGTTAATTTATAATTAAACTCTTATGTGTAGTGTATGTGGTCATTAATTTTGAAAGAAAAACACATTAAGAGATGAATATATGAAAAGTATACACAAACCAAACGTTAAAATTGATTTTTCTTTTTGAAATAAAAACATATGATTGGAAAAAAAGAGTTAATATATATATAAGAATTATACACAGACAGGTTCCCTTCATTTTTTTTTCAAAAAATGCAAATAAAGATGTCTGACTTGGAGCAACAATTAAAAAAAGCAAAAGAAATATATTATATTTTTCATATTCACACGAATTTGAGATCCTATCTTATTCACATCAAGTTCAAAGTTTAGACGAAAAATTTGTTGACAAAAAGTTGATGCGTCAAAAGCTTGGTTACTGATGTGGGGCAATGTAAATGTTTTACCTCATCAAAAGGCTAGAACCTTGACCTTGGTTAAACAAACATTTTTCTTTACTGCTGGAATCTATCTTTACCTACTAGGCGCTAAGCACCAATTAGTACCTTTCAGAGGAAAGACAATAAATCTTCTCCTTCAAATGCATGAAAATATTAGGCAAATAAACATATGAAGATATCGGGTGCCCTGTTTTGGATAGCAACTGAGTGGATTAAATTGGAGGAGTCACATCATGCCCGTCCCAAATATGATGATTTAGGTGGGCATGCATATGTATCACAAAAATGATTTGTTTTCTTATAAAAAGGAGTTTCGTTCACAGTCCATATTTGTCTTCATTGATGCTTCTGTTTTCCCCGTTGGTTTTCCATCGGATTAAAACACTTGACAAGTGCTTTTCATGAACCTGGCATTTGTCTTGGTGAAATTTATGATTCGAAAACCCTGTGGGCGAGGGTATTAGCACCTTCTAAGTAGAAATCGTAATTTAACCCTATCTGATGGATGCCATTCGACTATATCTAAAATGAATAGTTATTATTTTGAATCGTACGTAAATATTCAAAATTATTACTTATTGACGAATACAGATAATATCAAATCCGATTAGAATCTGATCCAATATATATACGCATCAACTTTTAAAATTATATGCATCATATTTATAATTTATATATATATATATATATATATATATATATATATATATATATATATTATTGTTTTATTTTATACTAAATAACAAATAATACTTGGGAAATGGATATTCAAAACCGATAAATAATATATGGAAATTTAAAATTTTCATTTTATTGGTAATAAATAATGTATAGATATTTAAAATTCTCATCCGAAATATATTGAATAGTGTATAAATATTCGAGACCTGACTTCCGGATGTCCATTGACATCACTAGTTCTAAGGTTATGTGCGCTAGACTCCAGGCTGGACTTAGGTGCCGTCGGCGGCAGCCGTGACTTCTCAAAATTTATAAATATCCTCGAAATTTAACATTTTTTAATCAATAAGTTGTACTTCAATTTGGCACTAGTCTCCTTCTTATCTTTAAAAAAACCCCTCTTTTGTAATTTTTTTTTTTAAAATAAAAATTGATTTTGTTATACAAGATCATCCTTCAAAATGAAAAAAGTAACCCCTTAATCCTTATTATGCAATTTGTAAATCTATTATATTAATTTATCCTCCAAAAATAATAATAATTTTTTTTTTTTTTTTTTTTTTTTTTTTTAACTCCGCCACTATTTGTGCGCACACAAAGAACTTAGAGCTATGTCGTCCCATCCAAATCTGCATGCATAGTCATATATAGTTGACAATGGAGAATAATTTCGTCAAATTGCAGGGCAGTGAATGAGCACTGAATTATTCTTTGTCTACATCGAAATGCATGAAAGTATAAGGGTTTGCTACTATGGGGGTACCTAGGATAGAGTAAATAGGCCAAGCATGGCCCTGTAAGCCATTATTGGATGCTCGTAGACTGTCGGCTTATAATTGTGCATAAACAAGAAATAGTTAATTTGTACATCAATCCAAAAATTTAGGCGTCAATTAAGCAAGATCGAGAGATCTTTGGCTTTCTTTAAGCTATCTTTTTGCTTATTTTTAATTATTTTTGGCTGAAGGAGAAATGAACTCCCAATTAATTTAAGGGTTTGTGCAGGTTTGGTCCTTGTTCTTTTCTAAAGTTTTTAATTAAATTATTCTACTTTTTTTTCATATTAATTATAAGTCCTTGTACTCTATATATACACACACATAACGCCATGAGTTTATACGTATATATGAAATCTTTTTATTCGAGTGACTCTTTTATTTTTAAAATTATTTAATTCAAGAAATATAAAATTATTTAAGTAAAGAAATAAGAAAATGAAAATAACAAGTGAAAATTAATTTAATTAATTATGTTTGTTTAGGCTTTTTTTTTAAAAAAATTAGTTGATTTACATTCTTTTAATTATTTAATTTTCACCTCAAACATAAATTTTTTTTGAAAAAATAAAATTATTGGATTGTGAATCGTTAATAATTCAACTCAATATTCTGATTTAAATGTGCTACATAAGCATGCAAACTAACAATGTATAAATGAGGAGACCTAATCAATGCAAAACAAAACAAAAAATTCAGGAACACAATTAATATGAATATAATAGAAGATTCTAATTAAAACAACTGAAAGAGTACAACGGCCAAATTCCAATAAAAACCATCAATTTAAACTAAAGAGACAAACAACCCTATCAAAGACTCATTCAATTAGTCTAAAATCTTAAGTTGGCAAAAGTATTTTAATATTTTGTCTTAATACAGGTGAATTGAATGTCCTAACAAATTGGGGACATACGATACTTTTTTGGATATATGATCAATATCTATATCCGAGTTTTTTTTTTAGGCAAAGAACATTACTGGTTTTTTTGGGGAAAAAAAAATTAAAGAGGCGAAGAATTTGTTGCGTGAGGAGAAGAAACGGGCTATAAGAATAAAACCGAATTATAAGTGGCGTGTTTTTTAAATTGTTAATTAATTCCTAGTGCAAAGGGGATCACAAGCATCATCGTCCAACTATTAATTAGTTGTGAATCATTTCCCTCATTAAATCAGTACTAACGTGAAGATGATGAATGGTCCATGACAACAGATTTTCTTGAGTTAGCTTTACAATGTGCCTATATATTTGGATGATTGTGATAGTGGATTTATTATGGGACTAAACCACGTGCGGGAATGGCACCAAGTCTCGCAAGTTTGTCCACTCGGAAGACTTGCTTGCCCTAAATAATGTGGCATGACCAATTTGAGCCGAAAGCGCAGCCTGAATTAGTAAGTACTCCTTGCTGCCGGTCTAATTTTGTAATTACAAACCTTATATATGTTTCCAATTCATCTATTGATTGTCATTTGTCAATTTATGAGCATCATATCATTGCTTTGCAACCACTCTTAGCATTATATTGTGTCTTAATCCTTGACTACCTATGTTAAAAAGAATCTGTTATGCTTCCATTTTACAAATAAATAATCTTCAATATATCTAAGTGAAAGGTCGTCCACACATGAGAAATTTTATAATACTTAAGGAGTAACTAGTGATATGTACGGTAGTTACTTTATGAATTTATTTTATTGAGAGATAGACAAGAGAGAGAGAGAGGAGAGAGAAAATTAAAAAAAATTGAGCGAACATGGAAATCTTCTTATCACTTTTAGTGAGTCCGGATGTAATTTTCTTTTTTTTTATGTGTCTATCTCTTCTATGAAGTAACTACTCGTATATGTCACTAGTTACTCCTTAAGTATTATAAAATTTCTCGTCCACATATAACTCATGTGGATATATGTGTATTTATATTAACGATAGATTACATGAGATCTTATATTGTAGCATAAGATAAACACATTTACGGATAAGGATTATCATAGAAGATTATTATTGACTTTCTCCCTTAAGTCGAATTAGTCTTGTATGAAGAAAGCTTTAGTGAAAATATCGGCCATTTGATGCTCGGTAGGAATGCATCAAACATGTAATGCTTTACTAGCGATCTTTTCATGGAAAAAATGAAAATCTAACTCAAGATATGTTGGTGAGGGCATGATAGACGGTTTGGTTGTGAGGTAAATAGCACTAATATTATCATAAAAGAGAATTGTGGATTAGGCAACTTCAAGCAAAGCTCACTAATGATATTGGTTAGCCAACTAATCTCAACAACAACGATGAGCAAAGGCCCCGTATTCTACCTCCGTATTAGACCTTGAAACGAGTGTGTTGTTTGTGAAAAAATAATGAAACAAGGACCTCGCAGTAGAAGATGACGGTGTCGATGGTTGATAGTCAATGTCTAGACAGACTCTCCCAACCAAGCATCGGAGATGGCTATTAAGTCGAAGAGAAACTAGGTGATATAATCAGCCCATAAGACATGGTGCTTGCAATGTATTGAAGAATCTTTCTTATCGCTCGAAGGTGTGTCGTCGTTGGATTGTGTAGAAATTGGCGGATGTCGTTGACGACAAAGAAG